GTTTGTGTTTGAAGATTGGCGGGATCTTATCCAACTATCTCATGGTTGGGGGGGGAGGGAGGGGGAGGGAGCCCAAACAAGCCCTTATTAAGCCCTGAAAAAAACCCTCTCCTCCCCTCCCCACCCCCCAAGCCCCCAAGGAGGTGAGCCTCACATGGGTTTCAGATCACTGCCTGCATATGGCTGACAAAGCAAACTGTAGACAAAGAAACTCGCCGAGGCACCTGCGGTGTGATGCGCAAAAAACCACCCCCAAGGCGCCAAAATCCGCCGACCCCTGAAGAATCCTTCGGTTTCTGGCAGATTTGGGCGTGCTTCGATTTGGGTGTTTCATTGAAAAGAACCTCATGGGTCCTCTGGAAATGCATTTTGGCCACCTTGCTCAATCCGCTTGCCCTCCCTCTTGCATAAAAACCACGACCCTGGCATTGACCTCACTGTTTCGCCTTGTGAGAAAACGGTGCAGGGATTTCTTTGGACCAGTGAGTCGCAATCAAAACCTGGTACTAAAATGGTCTACCCAGAACCATGTACAGGATTAAGAAGGCGGCCGCAGCTATTTATGGCTGGGATCGTCCCTGACTAACCTTCATCTACCCGGATTTTGATTGTGGCTCAAGTGAGCTTGCCCAGCGACCTGCTTGTATGACAGAACACGCGGCCTCCTTGTCGAAGCGCTTGCAAACCTCTTCAGCAGATAGCCTGCCCGGAAAAAAAAAAAAGGCGGGAAATATCAAAAAGTAAGTGGGGGTTGATCAAACTTTTCTCATACTTTTCTCATGTGAGACATATCATCCTTTTAGGGGATTTGCAACCAATGGTCATCCCGTGTTTACCGGACCTTTTGATCAACCCAATCTCTTCGCTTTTTGGTTGATTCACCGGTTCGTTTCCCATCTCCCAAACTGACCACAAAGTGCTGGATATGAAACGTGTCTGCATGCTCGATCGCAACGGGCTTCGACTTTCGACTTTGGCAATCCGCGTGCAGAAAATGAAAGATGTACCTGACGCGCTGAAAACTTTAAGCCACGGAAAACATGAAACAACAATATGGAACAGAAGTGTCCTGTTGGTGAAATAGATGGCGCTGGAAAATGACCACGACCAGCCTACAACCAGTCCATCTAGCTTCAACCAAACTGACCTAAAAAGGCCGTCTTCTATCTTGCCGTATCCCCCCCAAAAAAATCAAAGGGACCCCTGCAAACACCAATTTCCTGCGACCGGACCCTCTTGCAGCTTCCATGTTTTTCAGGGAAGAGGGGATCGCCACTCTTGCAAATCAACTTTTTTTGAAGACCAAACCACCTCCAGCCCCCTTCCAAGCCAACTTCGGAACGTGAAAAAGGGAGACAAGAAAACCACAAGCCGCCTTCTGCCGCCCTTCAAAAATGAAAAAAACACAAAAAACCAAAAAAAAAACACCCAAAAAACAAAAAAACCACCCAACACCAGTGAAAGGCTTGTCTTTCCATCTCTCCGCCTGGCCTGGCCGCCGGGTCGCTCTCTGCCATGCCCTGCAGCAGGCTCCGCCTCAAGGAAAGGGGCTGACCCACTGAAAGTTTCAGCTTCAGTTTGGTCTGGGCTGTCCTCAGATCCCATGGTTTTAGTGGGTTAAATGGAAAACCCCCCTTAAACCCGGCCTTACAAAATGTTCGCAAGTGGACCCTTACGCTGAGTTAACACACCCAAAACAAAACAGTATGGTCCGTATGGTGTTTACTCTTACCTTTTGTGTGGTCTGTGCTGTCCAAGCTGATGCCCTTCTAAAAATGACGATTTTAGTGGGTTAAACCGAAACCCCCACTAAACCCTGACAAACTTCCCAAAACTAAGGGGATGGCTGAGAGCTACCAAGTGGTGTGGCAAACTGACTGTTGCTTTTGCAGCCCCCTCCAACAAACAAAGTCCAGAAACCAAACGACCTAGAAAACTGATCCAAGAACTGGTCCAACATCAGCGAAGTTGGCCTCAGTTGCCCAACCCAATAAAGCGTAAACACATTTCATAACCTTTGTGCGTGGACCAACATGGGAAAAGGTCAAGGTCAAACAGCCGGTTTGGGAGAACTGAGATCCGAAAGCTTTGGTTGGACCGTTTGGGAACCTTACTTGAAGGGGCATGAGAGTTAGTATTTATTTGCATGAGTTGTTATGTACATACAGCACATACGCAGCCAGTTTACAAGTTCACTTAGTGCAGTTGGGTGGCTCACATATACAGGACTTACTGCATGAACTTGGCGAACTTAGCCAAGTCCGGTAAATGGAGATCCTACTCAGGGTTCAGACTAAATATTCATGGGCTCTTGCTCACGGGCGCCAAACAACTCTGTGTGACATGTGCTGTTTCCATTGCAAGAAGGAGAGTGTGAGGGAAGACAATGTTTGAAAGGCAGCAAAGGAGAACGCTTGCAAGCCCTACCAGGAAGGCAGTGAAGAAGTAAGATGGAGGGCCAGGGGGAGGCAACACAAAGCAAGGCAAAGGCACAGAAATAAGTATAAGAACAAATAAAGAGAGATATAAGGCAAGAAGAAGCAAGCCAAGGTGGAAGGCGCGCCAAAGGAAGGAACGGCGTGCTGCAGTACATCAGCAAAGCGATAAACTGTCATGAGGGTCTGAGGATAGGCGATGACGCGGGGAGGAGGAGCATTAATTACATGTTTCATGATGGATCCATACTGCCAAGGAGCAAGGCAGTATGACTTGGACAAATAAATGTGTCAAAAGCACAAAGAGCGAAAAACGCTTGAAGTGTTACCCGCGGTGCAGGGCTGAGGCTCGCAAGCAGGTCACGCAACGTGCCCCAAGTGCATGCAATTCAGTCACTGCTTTTTCTCAAGTCGCCCGTCAGTCAGGCAACACAATGGAGGCACACTATGTTTGCTGGACCTGCGTGTCGCCTTGGGAACATGTTCATGGCTGTGTCTTCCTCGTCAATCGTCAAGAGCGACGCCTTTCTGGTGAAGACTTGCGGCATTATAGACACTTGCGTGTTCCCTTTGAAAGGGGAGACGGCCATTGTTGTGTACTGGGCAAGGCCAACCCTGCGACATCCATCGAGTTTGGCAAAGGCACCTTTGGCCAGCAGCGGTTGCTGGGCGCGAAGGTAGTCAAGAGCCGCTTGCACCGACTCTGCGTTATGCAGCCGAAAGCGAGACATATCAGTGCAAGTCGAAGCAACCAACCTGTCAGAAGCATCATGCGAAGCCATGTCGGCCTTGTGATCAAAGCAATTCTGGCATTGCAAGCACAGGACCGTCCCTGCAGCACCTTTTGTTGCCGCAAACTGACTTGATGGCGGCCTCATCCGAGATCATGAAGCCAAACCTGGCAAATAACATTTGAGGCTGTTCGAAGTTCAGCAGCATTCCAGCCCGAAAGTCACGCAGAGTGAAAAACAAATCGAGCGCAACATGTGGTCTGTCCTTCGTCTTGGGCTTGAGCATGATCCTGGAGGATGACGCCGCCTGGTTATCGTTCAGACCCATGTTGCGCGACAAGCAAGCCAAGGGCCAGACCCTGCGGCTCCTCGCCGGGCGCTCATCCTCGGATGAGCTCAGGCTCGTGGCCTGCAACCCCAAAGGAAAGCTCGCGGCAGTCCAAACAAGTCGTCGCAGGGCATCATGTAACATGTTCCCAAACAACACCACTTGCCTCCTCTTCCACATCTTCGTCAAGGCCCTGCAACGACAGCAAGTTCGTGTTGAAGGAGTGACCGTTTCAAAAGGAAGGAGGCGCCTCGCGGGCATCTGGTCGGGGCTCAACAGCCCACGCAGCTAAAAAGGCACCAGCATCTCGATCAACCTCCTGGCCATGAACAGAAAGCAGGCTCAAGCACCCCCATCCAGGTAACTCATCTACGGAGGGCTCATTTGATAGGTTCTGGCAGCATGCGTCACACTTGGTCTTGAGAAGGCTTGAGCATGGTACACGGAAGGTTGCGCAATGTTGCGCAAGTTGAGATGCGCCCAGCCCAAGTTCAAGGAGACAGTTGCATGTAGCTGAGCAAGGGAAATTGATCAAAAGACGCCGCGCGTTAGTGTGAAAGTACGTGGCTCAACTCCCATGCGCAGTAGGCTTTTAGTTGCTATCTTGCTGGCAGACATCAAGGACATTGAGCCACTTACTTTCACCTAACTGCGACTTCAATGTCGCGCTGTGCTTCCCGGAGCCAGGCTGAGCTTCTCCAGCGCCTCGGCCGCGTACGTGACGCAGTTCCTGTCAAAGAGGTCGTACTTCCCTCGCCGACCAGAGGTTGTCACAGAAGACTTTACCCGAAAAACAAGCATGCATTGGTTTCGGTTTCAGTATAGCGGTGGCTGATCTCAAGGCCCAGCGTCCACTTTGGCAAAGCGTAGGGCGCGTGTCATGAACTAGCAGCAAAGCGCCAAACATCTACTGTTAGTGGGCCATGTCCAAACAGGACTTCCCAAAATTGCTTTCATTCCCTTAAGCCTACCAAACTGGGATTTGCCCAACCCATCTTGGTTGAAACGGGGAAAGTGTCCTATTGACTAGTCAGCGTCCTGAGGTCATTGGGCGTGGGCTTTCAAAGGAAGTGTTGCAAGAGTCCGAAAGGGGCCTAGGGAAGACGGCAAGGAAGGGACAGTAGTAGTAGTAGTAGTAGTAGTAGTAGTAGTAGTAGTAGTAGTAGTAGTAGTAGTAGTAGTAGTAGTAGTAGTAGTAGTAGTAGTTAGTAGTAGTAGTAGTAGTAGCAGTGCTAGCAACTGTTGTTGTTTGTTGCTACTGCTGTTGCCGTTGCGGTTGTCTTTGTTGTTGCCGTCGTCGTTGTCTATGTCGCTGTGGTTGTGATTTGTTGTGGTTGTAGTTGTGGTTGTGGCTGTTGATGTTTGTTGTCATTGCTGTCGGTGTTTTGGTGTTGGTGCGGGTGTCGTTGTGGTTGTGGTTGTGGTTGGGGCCGTGGCTGCGGTTGCTGTTGTTGTCGTTGCTGCTGCTGTGGCTGTTGCCGTTGTTGCCGTTGTTGCCGTTGTTGACGTTGTTGCTGTTGCAGCTGCTGCAGCTGTTGCAGCTGTTGGTGTTGGTGTTTGTGTTGGCGTTGTTGTCGTCGTCGTTATCGTCGTCGTCGTCGTTGCTGTTCCTGTTCCTGTTGCTGTTGCTGTTGCCGTTGTCGTTGTCAGTTGTGGGTTGTGTGGGCTGTGTGGGCTGTGTGGGTTGTGTGGGTTGTGTGGGTTGTGTGGGTTGTGTGGAGTGTGTGGGTTGTGTGGGTTGTGTGGGTTGTTGCTTTTGCTGTTGCAGTTGCTGTTGCTGTAGCTGTAGCAGTTGCAGTTGCTCTTGCTGTGCTGTTGCTGCTGCTGCTGCTGTTGCTGTTTCTGCTGCTGCTGCTGTTCCTGTTTCTGCTGCTGCTGCTGTTGCTGTTGCTGTTGCTGTTGCCGTTGCTGTTGCTGTTGTTGCTGCTGCTGCTGCTGCTGCTGTTGTTGTTGTTGTTGTTGTTGTTGTTGTTGTTGTTGTTGTGGTCGTCGTCGTCGTCGTCGTCGCTGATGTTGTTGCTAATGTTGTAGTCGCACTAGTACTGGCGATTGCAAAAAGTATAAATAGTCAAAGGATGTTTGGAAGGAATTTCCGTGTTACGGACAACAATTAAAAGATAGTCCTGCGCACAAATGAGATAAAGAAACAAATGAAATTGAATGCGTGCGAGAAACATGCGCACGCATGTGGAGGGGGAATAAACATCGCGAAAAAGAGTGACCCTCTGCAGATTTCGGCGTTTCCGGCGAGCTGAAAGCAACCTCGGTCGCGACGCCTGTCGGATCTCGGAGCGGTCTCGGAACTGGCGCAGGCCCAGGCCTGCTGGTATGAACGCGTGCACACGATGTCAGCTTCGCGTGGAACGAGCAGCACTTTGGCGAGCTCGTATGTGTGCATATGTATGTGTGCATATGCATGTGTGTATGTGTGCATGTGTGTATGTGTGTATGTGTGTATGTATGTGTATGTATGTATGTATGTATGTATGTATGTATGTATGTATGTATGTATGTATGTATGTATGTATGTATGTATGTATGTATGTATGTATGTATGTATGTATGTATGTATGTATGTATGTATGTATGTATGTATGTATGTATGTATGTATGTATGTATGTATGTATGTATGTATGTATGTATGTATGTATGTATGTATGTATGTATGTATGTATGTATGTATGTATGTATGTATGTATGTATGTATGTATGTATGTATGTATGTATGTATGTATGTATGTATGTATGTATGTATGTATGTATGTATGTATGTATGTATGTATGTATGTATGTATGTATGTATGTGTATGTATGTATATGTGTGTATGTATGTATGTATGTATGTATGTATGTATGTATGTATGTATGTATGTATGTATGTATGTATGTATGTATGTATGTATGTATGTATGTATGTATGTGTGTATGTATGTATGTGTGTGCGTATGTATGTGTGTATGCATGTGTGTATGTATGTATGTATGTATGTATGTATGTATGTATGCATGCATGTATGTATGTGTGTGCGTGTATATGTGTGTATGCATGTATATATGTGTGTATGTGTGTGTGTGTGTGTATGTATGTGTGTGTATGTATGCATGCATGCAGCAATCTATGTATCTATGTATCTATGTATCAATGTATCAATGTATCAATGTATCTATGTATCTATGTATCTATGTATGTATGTATGTATGTATGTATGTATGTATGTATGTATGTATGTATGTGTGTGCATGGGCATGCTCAGAGAAACCAGCAAAGCAACAAGCAAACAACCAACCAACACGCAGACAAACACAAACATGCACAAGCCAACACATAAACAAACAACACCATCACGTGCACACGCGCGCGCACAGCGACGAGGCAAATATACTTGCGCACGCCCGTGCGCCAGCACATGCACACACTCAAGCATGTGTATATAAACTATGTCATAGATGTGCTTATACGCCTGCATTCCTGTAGACAACAGGCACGCAATCCTCGCGAGTTCCGCGCTGCGCTACTTTCACAACATCGCAGGCGTGCGCGTGCGGGCGTTCCAGCATGGCGAAGGCCGCCTTGCGGCTGCATCCACTGCATCACTCCACCCGCATCAGGAAGTGGTCCGAGGGCGGGCTCAACATCTTTGTTTTACGGCTACACTTTAATTAGTCCAAAAGGAACACCACATTTTTTAGGGGGGGTCCAATCTGAAAAAGACACACCTATTTCCAAGACAGCCCCAGGCCTCAAAGTGTTCGTCGCTTATCGAGGGTGTTCTGTTGGGTCAAAGGGAAACAACAGAAAGAAGCATTGACTTTCCAGGTGCTCCCCTAAATCGACAGTCCAACATTGATTGTCACTTAGTTGGTCTGGCGCTGCCTTTCGCACTCTGAGGGCTTGACGTCTTCGGGAGCCGCACGGCGATGTAACCAGGCACGATCTGGCGCTGAAACCAAAAACGGTTCTTTGGATTGGGGATTAAGACCCTCGGTTGCATTCCTTGCAAGGAAAACCCGCTGGGTTTGAGTCTTTGGGTCAGAAAATGGAAGATTGACACTCAAAACATCAAAGAAACTCAAAGACTTAGAGGCAACCCGATCAGCCAACAACTTAAATGAGACAAAACATCCAAAGGATGTGAGCCAAGCATGATGCAAGTTTCGTCCTACGAAGCAAACATACAATGGCCTCACTTCAGAAAATGCTTCGACACGCCCTTGCATCAGGCGCAGCGATGTGGGGGAACAAATGCAAACCCGGGAAGACAACGTCAAACAACACCAATGCCACCACATCCGCTTCAATTGTCTTCATGGCCAACTCACTATGGGTGGTCCGCTTGCCGCTACTTGTGGCTTATCATTTCACCGCGATAGCTAGGCTAAAGGGAAACAACGACAGATTCCGACTTCGACAACCGAAATGAACACAGTCAAACAATGTTTTCAAAGCAATGCTGGCACAGGTCAATCAACCTGGCCAAGTAGGTGCTGCTTCCAAAAGTCAATCTAATTACCTGTACACAGGAATCCCATTCGTCGAAGGACAACCCTGAACCCGCTTCCAGTACAGTTGTGTGAAAGTGGATGGCGCAATGCACCATTTGGGTTTAGTCATCTCCTTTTCTTACCCAAACAATCAAACACCATGCCATCCGTCGCTGTCACCCGAGTGCATGTTGCGTTTATGGGAAAACAACACGTGCATGCTGCATTTATAGAAAAACACGTGCATGCGCCCACTGGTCACTGCTGGGGGCCTTGTGCTGGTTGAATTTGTCCAGCGTGATCACCCGCTCCATCTGAGTCCTGAAATCGAGGCAATCGCACCAGCTGAATCTGATCTACATACTATTTGCAACGGACACTATCTCCGAGCGGGAGTCGATTTTGGGCAGTCCACTGCCCACCGGTTTTGCAGATCAGCATCGGATTGGGCAACTATCCATCGGTTTCGGGTGTTGATACTGCGAATAGAACCACCGGACCTCAGCTGCAGTTTCCCCAAAAGAGTCAAGCAAATGACACTCGCGAATGGATCGAATCACCCCCCCGCCTCTTGAAAGCGCTGCAAAAAGACATGCACAGCCATGCATAAACCAAAGCAGGGAAACAAACCAAGGACCACAGTTGGGACTGAAGAAGTGTCAACGTGGGCGCTCGAAACCCATTGACTTTTGGTTCGAGTATTTTGTTTTCTTCAGCGGCTACCCTTCTCAGGTTGAGCTGGTACCTTTTTAGAGGCTAATTACCCTTTTCAGGTTGTGTTTGAAGGGCAAGGGGCGGGGGTCCGAGTCCCGTCCCAAGTTCGGAACACCGTTAAGGGAAGGCATTGGGCCGGGAATTGGAAGAAGCCCATCCAGGAAAACAAAGAGGTACCAAACTAACGTGGAACTTAACATCACAACCCTTGGTGTGGGAACAACAAACCTTGTTTTGTGCAGCCCCCTACTACAAATGAACAGAACCAACAAAAACAAACAAACAAACAAACAAACAAGCAAACAAACAAACAAACAAACAAATAAACACACAAACACACACACACACACACACACACACACACACACACACACACACACACACACACACACACACACACACACACACACACACACACACACACACACACACACACACACACACACACACACACACACACACACACACACACACACACACACACACACACACACACACACACACACACACACACACACACACACACACACACAGAGAACACCTGCCAAGAACAGTGAAGTCAAGGAGAAAAATGGATCAGAAACCAATGCTCGTGAGATTTTGGGAGATTTCGCAAAATCTCGGAGGCCCGAAGAAACGGCGACAGAAAATTGACACACAGGGGAGCAGGGAATCTGGATATGATGTGGCTGTGGCTCAAAACAGTGGTACCAAAATGGGTTGCCCTGGTAAATGGAACCAAAGACTAAAGCCTGCGTAACCCTAACTCACTACTTTTGAGCCATACCCATGTCCAATTATTGTGGATGGACAATATCCACGCGTTTATCCAAGTATAGGGGTTCGTCGATCCCAAACTTCCAATTGTAAACACACATGCCCCACAGTAGTTGTCAACGGAAGCAACCCAAAAACCAGGCCGCCATGTTTGGCTCCATACTAAAAATGTGTACCCAGATGTGTTTTAGGGAATCCTAGTCGGTGGTTTGGGTTTGGAAGCTTGGTGGTTGTTGGTGATTTCCCATTCACCCTTTACAAAAGCCAAGGACCCGTTCAAATCCAAATCCAAATCCCAAGCCGAAGCAAGTAGTTCTTGCCTGAAAACTGATTTCAGGCAAATTCCCCCCTGGTTTTTGACCATCACCCAAAGGCCCAAAGGCTTTGAGCTCCTGAAAGGCTGCAGAAGAAGCTCCAGCAGGACCACTGCGCCTGAACCCCCCCCAACTGGCGCCAGGTTTTTGCCACCAAAGTATCAACGTCACCCCTAAGTGATTTGTTTCAAGCGAAACATGGCAATGCCAGCTGACTTGGAACCAACAGTCCAAATACGGAGCCCAGTCAAAATCATGGTTGATGGTTATAGAAGCGGATCGGGAGAAGGAGCAACCCCGAAAGTCAGTAGTAACATCCAATTATGACAAGAGGCGGCCTTGTGGAACCCAGGAAGCGTTTAGATACTGTTGTGGCTCAAGCTGTACGGCAAAGGTTCCAACATGTTCCAACTAAAGGGGACTTTGAAATGAAACCACGGATGTTGCATCCAAAACAGTTTCACATTTCAACAATCCCTCCCTAAAGACAAACGAAACAACATCACGTGCTTTGGCCTAGTGGTTGAAAGAATGCCCAACCATCTTCCAGTTCAAAGGCAAGGGCACGTGCCTATCTACACATTGGATGCGTCAGCAGCAAAGGTATTTCTATTCACCTGGATTTACGCTAGGGGTGTATTGTCGCCCTATGAGTTCGATGTTGTTATGTCTTGAAAACACCCCCAAGGTGTACCCCACGAATGATGGCCCTCGGAAGTCAGATGATGCGCAGAACCACGGTTCCCAACTGCAGGAGCGATCTGCCAAAACCATATCGTTCCGTAACATGTGCGCAACCCTTTTCTTGGCTGGTAGTCTCGGACCCCAGCAACATTATCTTGTTTGCCTGGTGAGTGCAAAACAAAGGCAACCGAAAAAAAAAAAAAAAAAAAAAAAAAAAAAAAAAAAAAAGCGAAAAGGCAACAAGGGGAGCTAATTCTGGGGATTTTTTTTAGGTCAGTTGGGCAGAGTGTGGAAGTTTGCCTTGGGCTTGCGGTAGACCGTGGCTTCTCGTCGTAATGCTTTGCTTGCAACCTGTTGAGCTAGACGATGCGCGGTGCGCGCGTTTTTCTTTTTTTGAGTTGGAAGCCCGTTTCTGGCTGCTTTAAAGGGAAACACTTCTCTTTTGCACGTTTGATCAAGAATCAGAGCTGCCGCGCAATGTTAGGTCTCGCACCGCTGCTTGCGCAATGTGGATGGACGAAATCCTGCACCACGTTGAAACCATGGGAAACCACTGTTTGTTGGCATTTACAGAGGAATCATCATTCCAGGTTCTTAGGTGGTGCAGGACTTCGTCCATCCACAGCAGGTTCAAATTTTCGAACAACCCTTCCGGGGCCGTGTTTCTGAGCCATGCGATGCATAGTTGATGTCAAAAAGGAAACGCGGCTACGGCCCCGAAGAAATTGCCAGGATGGATGCAAGTTTATATATGCCCTGAGGTTTATGTCAGCCCTCGCTGCATGGTTGTGGAAACTTAGCTTTTAAAAACCAAGTGGGCAATCCCAATGATTACTTTGTCTTGAAAGAAAATCCTTAGGCATGGCAAGCCCGCACAATAACCCCTTGCTGTACTCTCCTTCACCTCCTAGGTCCTCCAGTAGAGAGCTTAGAATAAGGGCACCCCTTTTTTTCTGTAGTCTGTTTTAGCAGGTTGGAACCCTCCCAACCGTAAAACGGGTGAGAAAGGGCACCTAGCTCAACAAACCTAGCCCTCAATGGAACATGCTGAAGGCTTTCGGACAGCAAGCCAGCCAACCACTTTGTCACAGGGAGTGAACCATCCCAAAACCTCAGATGCCCAGTGGATTTCCATGGGAAAACAAGGGCCTATTTTTTTTTGGGTTGGTTGAGCTTGAAGGGAACCCTTCCCCCAAAAAAAGGAGAAACAAAAGGGCGGAATCCACTGGGCAACTGGGAAGCTGCAGCCAGGGCGCATGAATAGATGTCAACTTTGTCGGAGCAGGCATCCTGCCCTTTCCGACCGGACATGAAAATCTCCTGGCCGCGAAGGGGAAGGATCGATGCTCGCGGATTTTTTTGAAGGCCGGGTGCATGAGGTCGGGTATATATGATTGCTCTGATATCCTCATATTAATATGAGCGCCAAGCAAAACCTCGGGACAAGCAATATGTAAAGGGAGGAACAAGACACACCACGCGCAACAGAATGAAACGCCAGGGTCCGCACGTAAGTATGTAACGTGTCAACAACCCCTTCGAACCCCGATGTAAGCGCGAATTGGCCTGGTTGGAGGACGTTGGAGAGTTGCTTGACGGAGGTTCCCCAAACTGGTCAGCCCCTGACTGAGCAGGTGGAGCCTCACCTGCACTGAGCAAGTGGAGCTTCCGGGGTGTTTTCCACTCGACGTTAATTAGTCAACACGCAGCTGCGCTGCTAGTGTTGGAATGCTATCCTTTCAACAACGTCTTGGGGGCTTCCTGCCAAGGTAACTAAGTGAGAAGCCCCCAACTTTCCTGATTCTGTGACGCGAGGACACGGATGTGTTGAATTCTTAGCATACGCCGCCGCGTTAAGTGAACCTGTGGTGCTTTGCAAGATTGCCGAGGCAGGTGTCCTTGATTCAAACTGTGCAAGCAAGTTCAAACACCGCGTTGCTTCAAAAACGTGCAGCCAAACAAAAAAAACTTAGATAGGCTAAAAACTGACCCAGAAACGCCTGAAGCCAGAGGTATAACGCATACATAATACCAAGGCGCAAGACGAAGCAGGGATGAAACAAGCAGGAACTAGCCGAGGGGGGTTAAGCACCCCGAACTTGCAAAATCTGGATTTCAAGAATTCATAGCACTTGACTGCAGGCTAACAAAGCAGTCATTTGTAGTCGCCCCTGGTTGGTGAAACTCATTGACCTACCTTGAGACTGGCTGCTAACCAGGCCCGAAACTAGGGGATCTTACGTTTTCCAAAAAACTACACCTATTTTGTCCTGCAAAAGATTACCAAACTTCAACTGGCCAAGATGCTTCTTTTGAGGAGCCCTGTGAACCCCGACGTTTTGGGCCGCACCGACCGATTCCAACACCCGGCGCAACCAAAGCCCCGACAGAGCAGTCCGGCGCGATGTAGCCAGGAGTCCCTCCTGCCAGGCCACTACCAGAGCGCAGCCTGCGACCGCGACGGCAAGAAACCCTGGGCGAGTTTGAAGAGTCTACCTCGGAATGGCCACGATGTGTGTTTTGTGCTTTATCAGTATTATTAGTATTATGATTATTATTATTATTGTTATTGTTATTGTTATTGGTATTGTTATTGTTATTATTATTATTATTATTAGTATTATTATTATTAGTATTGTTATTATTATTATTACTATTATTATTATTATTATTACTATTGCTATTGCTATTACTATTATTATTATTATCATTATCATTATCATTATCATTATCATTATCATTATCATTATCATTATTATTATTATGATTATCATTATCATTTTCATTTTCATTTTCATTATCATTATCATTATCATTATTACTATTACTATTATTATTATTATTATTATTATCATTATTATATATATATATCATTATGATTACTATTGCTATGATTATGAATATTATTAGTCAAACACCCGAAGAGGAATCATACAGGGACCCCTGACCGAGCGCAAAGGGATCATTGCTATGAAGGGAAGCTTGGGATCCAAGCTCGACCAAGACCTTTGGTGATACACTGTGGAAAAGGGGATTAGTCATCACTTAAACCAACATGGGTTGGAATTCTGACGTCTCTCACCCCAACTGGCCATGGTCATTCTTAAGCATTGCCGCAAAATCCACCGGGGTGAATGAACATCACTAGGTAAACAAGTATAGATGGTGGCTCAATTGGGTGTGTCAAAATTCGGGGCCCAAAGATGTTGGTTTCTCCTCAAAGGCTGGTTGGAATGGTCCAAAGTGACACCCTCAAAGGGAACACCCAAGGGCTTGAAGGCGGGGTTTCCCCGCCCTTCAAGCAACACGTTCATTTGGATTCTCACAATGGCTCCTGTAAATCATACGATTATAATTATAGGTCCCGGCCCCTTTGGTGACTTCATTTTTGGGACAACCACTTTTGAGGTGGTTCCAACTCTTCAAATTGATAGCCACGTTGCCTCCCAAATACTAAGTCCAGGAAGTCAGGGATCAGGGAGAAAGGTCGCACATCACCAACGAAAGATGGAAAATGGAAGTGGTTCAGACCCCTTTTCCACACGTCACAAAAGGACCTGAATTTAAAAGGCGATCACCTTTCGGGACCTGTACTAAAAGTAGGGAAGGCTGTGGGAAATGGAACCCACTTCTGTGACACAACAATAAGGCCCTCTTCCCAAACACTAACTTCCCTAACGGGGGAGATTCCCAAAAGTATCACAGAAGTGGGGTGGAACCTCTTCTCAGTTCTTCAGTGACCTTGGGAAAAAAAGGGAACCCTTTTTTTAGGAAGACCCTTTTTAGTGGTTTTTAGTGGGGCAGCCACCCCAAAGAAGGGGAAGAAAGGGTACCACCGAACAAAACTGTTGCTCCAAGCCTGGGGAAAGCCAACAGGTGCAAAGCCATGGGACGCTCTCGCCCAGCTGGTGGGGAGGGTTTCTAGGTCCTCCAGTGGAGAGGGTAGAATAAGTTGGTACCCTTCTTTTTTCCGTCTTGTCCATTTTTGTAGGGGAACCCTCCCCCAAAAAAAGTTCGTAAAAGGGCACCTAGCTGGGGGACCCTCCCGATGCGATGAGCTCCCGGTTGCAACCAATTCCTGACGCAAGACGCTACCCGAGGGAGTGCACCCACCAGTGTCACTGCAGAGCTGGGGTCGACGTGCCACAAACAGCCCGATGCGCAAAGCATCGGATCTCTGCCACGAATTGCTCTGATCCAGTCAGAATAGCTTACAAGACCAAAGAGACTCCCCAATCTGGTTCGAACGGCCCAGGACTTGTTTTTTTGGGGGACAACCCCCGAGTGCTGCCTACCTGTTTCTTCTTCGGGGGAGTCCATTTGAGTCAGGCAAGGAGCTGTCGCTGTATGCGAAAAGCTTCTTGAAACCCTCGCGCTCCACGCCGAAGGCGTTTTTCCTTTTTTTTTTGGTGATAGTGTCATGCTCTATACGGGGGCTTTCTCTAAACAGGGCAACCCTCAAGATGGCTTGTCCTTTGATCTCCAAATACAGCAGACCCCCAAAAGGCTAGGAACTCAAAATCACACACACAGACACACACCCATGTGCTGATGCAGAGGCCCTCTGCACTAAGCCGCAGACATGTTGGAGGAAAATGTATCAAACTGCCTGAAGAGCTGGTTCTCTCCTGAGCCGGCCACACGTGTGCTGAAACTCTTTGGCCGGGCTCAAGCGCATGAAGGGCTGGCCAATCCGATAGCTACGTGACAGCCCAAATGGGAAGCTCAAACTTGGATGTAGCATGATACTTTTCAAACATGCCTGTGGGTCAAAACCAATGGTACCATTTTGGGGTGGGTGCACCACTCATTCTAGTGTATTTTAGTGGGGATTGAAATGTTCGCTGGGGGTACGGGTTTTACCCATGCCCATATATTGAGTCTGGAGTAGCATTGTCTGAACAATTTCTATCCACAAATTGAAACCAGGAATGCCCATGTCAGCTTTGACCTTCGTCATGGCCGTCCGCTTACCCCCAAACGAGCTTGGCACACTTCGCCCAGGTGTCATGCAATCGCAAGGCCTCACGTCGTGCTTTTCTTTGGAGGTGGAACATCAGGAAGTACCCAAGTCGTCACCGGGTTTGTCTCTCTGCCCCTCATTCGAAAAGGATGGAAGGAATGGGGGGGGAGGGAAATATGGCTAGGCGAAAGAGTAACCTGGAAGCCGAGCATTCGCGAGCAACAACCCTTGTCAGCATTTTGAACCACGTCACGATTGCAGGAAAAGATCGTCCAACCGCAAATTTGCGGAACTCCAAAACCATCAACTCTGCAGGGGCTCAATATCAGCGCGAACCCTAAACTGGCTTGTGTCCTTTCGGTTCATTTAAAGCCACACCCGAGCTGCCCTGTGGGTGCGGGACATAGGCAACCTCTGCACCCAGAACTTCTGGGTTTCTTCGTCCCAAAATGTGAGAAAACATCTGGTTGCCACAGTAAAGCAACCAGCGGTTCTGAAGAAAAAACAAAAACATAGGCAGCGCTGCTTTTTGCTTCCAGGAAGACCTTCCCCGACAAAAACCATGGCTAGGTTTTTTTAGTAGAGAGGTTGGAATAAGGATACCCTTTTCTGTAGTCTATTTTAGTAGGGGAACCCTCCCCCAAAGGAGGGTAAAAAGGGCACTACTGGGGGACCTAGTCTGGTTGCCACAGATCACTAACCAGCGGTTCTAAAAAACAAACATGGGCAGCGCTGCTTTTTGCTTCCAGGAAGACCTTCCCCGACAAAAACCATGGCTAGGTCCTCCAGTAGAGAGGTTGGAATAAGGATACCCTTTTCTGTAGTCTATTTTAGTCTGGGCACCCCCCCAAAGAAGGGTAAAAAGGGCACTACTGGGGGACCTAGTCTGGTTGCCACAGATCAGCAAGCAGCGGTTCTAAAAAACAAACATGGGCAGCGATGCGTTTTGCTTGGCTTAGGAAGACCTTTCCCACGAAACACGAAAAGACATGGGGGACTGAGGTAAAGGACTCCTTTTGAGTCTAAGCGCTTTGGGCCCCCAACCGGCCAAGCCGAAGTCCGCGATGCGAACGACCTTCACCTGCAGCTTCCATCGCTGCCATCTACAGTTTGACGTGGAACCCGAACAGGGGGCCCTCCTAAAAGGAGCAATTTGTCTAGAAATGAGAATTTAGGGTCCCATGTGTTTTTTCTTTTTGCCAGGGACGAATTATCATCCAGAGTCGGGTGAAAGTAGATGGGCGGGTGTCCCTCTCTTCCTGACAGAAAGGAAGTTGTGCCATCCACTTTCAACTTGGTTTGCTAGTACCAATGGGGTACACGACTTGCATTTGCATCGAATTGCACTAAAAGCAATACCTACGGGGTGACTATTTCCCGCACAGACCGACTGCGAAAAAGAACACATCGGTGGAAAAAAAGGAAGGGAACACAATTGGAAGCAATGAAGACCGCAAGTCTTCACCCTAACTCTGCATACCCCATGACAACTCTAGGGGTTGATTCCCCATTCTTTTCAACCATTGTTCTTTCCAAAAATCGGCTGTTTCCCTGGGTGTTTGAATGGCTTCCTGAAAACAAGGATCCCTGGAAGAAATGGAAGGTACCCCTAGATTTGTAAGTAGTTTCAATTTCCTCTAGATCCCCCAGCTAGGTGTCCTTTCTCACCCCCTTTTTTTGGATGGGAGGGTTCCAACCTACCAAAATCGACAAACAAACATCGGGTACCTAGAACAACTAGGTCCAGTAGAGAGGTTAGAATAGGGGTACCCTTTTTTTCTGTCTATTTTAGTAGGAGAACCCTCCCCCAAAAGAGAGATGGCAAAAGAAACGGCACTGGGGGACCTAGACCAATGCTGCGCAATAGCCCCGGTGCCCCGGGGCCTTTGACCGCTGCGCCACGCAGAAGATGTTGTCTGGCCTGAGCCGAAGAGAGAACACAGGCCACACATCTAGGGGTACCTTCCATGTCCATTCTGAACCCAGGGATCCTTCCTTTCAGGAAACCCATCAAAAAACCCGGGGAAAACGGAAGGTGTTTGAAAAGAACGATGGTGGAAAGGAATGGGAAATCAACCCCTAGAAAACAGGCAAATGGCTGGCTCGTCTTTTTTTGAGGGGTTTCCCTGGGAGAACCAAAAGGAAAACCACAATTTTGGGGTCCCCTCAAAAAATACACGCGACAACTCCTGATATCGCCAACCATCCAGTGCACGCCAAACTTAGCGGGAAACCACCCATGGTTAACAAAAAGTCCAACCCATTGACCGAGCAACCAAATAACGAGCCAAACAACCAGCCAGCCAGCCAACCAACCATCCACTGCCCCACGTCAATCCTTAAAACCACCCATGTCCTTCCCTCTGACAACCCCTCGTCCAGCAAAAATTGACTCCATATTGAATGAGTCTGACAAATGCGTGTTGAAGGGATCCCCGGATTCTGACACTGTGGTCATCAACTCCAGGATCCCCTGGCGGCTTCAAGCAGCTTGGGGGCCACAAAGCCAGACTTCCGAGCTTCTCATGCCAACGGTGAGTATAAAGTGGGGAATGAGCAAACCAAGATGGGGAAGTGCTGCCAACTTCATGATGAGCTGTGGCCAAAATCGACCCTACCGTGGAATGTTGATGCCCTGTAGTGGCAATCTGGTTGAGATTCCTCTCAAGTCATGTCAGCATGTAGCAGAACTGGGCTAAATAGGGCATCCAGAGAAGTGAAACATTATCCGTGTGTCGGGTTTCGCGTGAAACTTACAATTACACATTCAGCGCCAAAACAAAAAACAACAAACAACTACTCACATCCTGGCATGTTCAGGTAAAATCAAAAAGGGCAGAGGCCCAACGACCTGCAAAAGGAACAATACAGTTGGCTGGCACAATTCCAACCCATTTCAGTTTGGTCATCCCCTTTACTTGCCGATATCGGGAATTGTGCCATGCAAGGACTTAGAAACTGTCTTGGTTTTATTTCAAGTCCTCCACCCAAATTTATATTCAAGAACTTTGGTACTTTCACCCTGGGAGGCCAAGGGGAAACATACCATGACCTTGCGCGCATTGGACGCCCTGCATTGATGTAGGGAGCCCTTTCATCTCGCAGCTCTTCAAGAAGGTAAAGGGGCTCCTCTTCATCTTTTCCCACCAACTTGCTACCTGAAGCTGACTGAGCCAAGCAGAAAATGGAATCTCGACTACTTCTTTGCCTTCGGAGTATTCCCCCTGAAGTTCGAACAGGTTTTGACATGATTTGATCTCGTACGAATGCAGCTCCAGGGGGTTGTGGGGCTTATTGGCCTGTACACAGAAACTAAGACCTTCAGGCCCTGCATCAAATCTAGTCTTTTCAACAACTGTGTGTGTGTGTGTCTGTTGTTGGGGACCTCCATGCCACCCTAAAAGAAGCACTGACATGGCTTCCTCCGCCCCAACAAAAAACAACAACAAACGAAACACACATACAAAACCAAAAAGGAAAACACACAACAGGAAAAACAGAGGTTCCTCCACCCCCTCACCCCCACCCCCGCCAAAAAAAAACGGTTTCCCTGTTTGGGTGCGAAAGGTCCAGGGCCGCAGCTTCAGGTCGCTGTGCACGATGCGCTTGCGGTGGATGTGCCGCACCTCGCATTTTTTTTGGGCGGGGAGGTTCACACGGATCCACCCCAAAAACGGTCACCTCGGTGTTTTTTTTGTGTGTTTTTTTTGCGTGTTTTCGATCTGTGCGGCCATTCGCGATCACGCAGGTCCGCTGTTTCAGCACAGAGAAACCAAAACGGATCACGTCTGTGACAAAGACTCAGATGCCCAGTGGCCATGGGAAAAATGGGGGAAAGCCATGCGAAATGGTTTGCTTCGACCAAATTGAGGGGGGGGGCCAACAAAGGTCACCCCCCAATACCAGTCTAAGTTGAATACCAACATGGACAACACAACTGCTCCAATTTGCTCATTTGCGGTCTGGTTTGCAGTCAAATGATTCGTCTCTGCCAGTACCCCCCCCCCCCCCCCGCAGTTTCCCCCCAAACAAAACAACAAACAACAAAAACAAGCACAACCGACAAACTGCAGACAATGCAAAGCGGGAAGCCCCGAAATGGCAGGGATGCAACAAATGGTGCCGGGCCATAAAAAGGCCAGACTTTCTGGTTTCCATCGAAATGATCTCAAGCAGTTTACCTACTTGCCCAAAGGCCTTGGATTTAAAAGCTGGTCGTCTTGTGCAGTGGGACCTTTACAAAAAAAGAGACAAACAAGCAAAAGGAAAACCGAAAGGGTCCAAAGGCCGGCTTTGGGCAAGTGAGCTTAAGAAACTGGGAAGCCACAAAATGCGCATGTTCCCGTGGTTCCAAAAAGGTAACCCTCGCTGCTTCTGAGCATGGGCCCTTGTTAGGATTTTCTGGCAAGAAGGGCACCGACTCCAAAAAAGGAAAGCACGCCCGTACTAGGCGGCAAGTCCCCCGTAGTAGTTCTCTCAATCCACCCCCCCCCCCCCGCCACCAACCCCTTCGCCCCCGCCGAGGCAAGTCCGTTTCCATTGAAACTAAGCCACCAGCCCCTTAATCCCTACCCTACCTACACCCTACCCTACCCTACCCAACCTCCCCCACCTCCCCTACCCTACCCTACCCTACCCTACCCAACCTCCCCCCCTACCTACCCGACCCAATCTCCCCCACCCCCCCCCACCCTACCCCCCCACCCCACCCCCCCACCCCCCCTACCCTCGCCAAGGCCGAGAAGCGCTCAGCATGAGGATGCCGAAGACGTCGGCCGCCTCCGACAGCGTCCGACTAGAGCTCTGCAGCCAGCTCCGCAGCGTCATCGTCTGCCTCGAACCGAAGGAAGCGAAGGACACCCCACCAAACCACCCAAACATACCGCTGACCCCATACTGTGGGTGGACGAAATGTGAACTGGACCAAGAGTTCATTGAGGGAAGCTAACCGTAGCGCATGCGAAGTGTCAAGCTTGGCATCATGACTAGGTCCTCCAGTACAGAGGTTAGGAAAAGGGTACCCGATCTTTTTTCTGTAGTCTATTTTAGTGGTGGAACCCTACCCCGAAAAATGGTGAGAGAAGGGCACCACTGGGGACCTAGCACTGTTGACCCCATACTGCGGGTGGACCAGAAAGGACCCTCCTACTGGGTTCCATGTTGGTGAGTTTTACATCCAGAGATATGGGTGTCTTGTAGGATCGGACCCAACAAAATGGAGGGTTCTCCCTTCAGGGCTTGCCCTCAGATCCCCCGCTAAAAGTGAATAACTTTTAGTGAGCCAAATGGAAAACCCCACTAAACACTAAAAGGCTAAAAAGCTAAGGAACCGGACGGCTGGGAGCCACGAAGATACTGTGGGCGGACGAAATCCAGTTCGCACCACTTTGAAACCATGGGAAGCCATTGTTTGGTAGTTACGGGGAATCATCATACCAAGGGATTCCTAGGTGGTGCGAAATGGATTTCGCAACCATCCACAGTATTAATCAACCCCAGTTTATGAACATCGAAAGGTCCAGCTGGGTGAAATTGGGCGAAAAAGGGCCACTTTCGGAGGGGAACATCCCCCGCTAATAAACTGGGGGCGATTGTGTTATGGGGTCAACATCTGGGCTGGTCAACCACCCAAACTGATTCCCTGAGAGAAGTGAGTCTAACTGTTGGTTGGTTGAGTGGTAGTTTACCACTAAACACACTAAAAATCTTAAGGAACCGGATGGCTGGGAACCACCAAGATATGATAGATACGAGATATGTAAACTGGCAACCATCTATGGTTGAGCTATCCTTTTGGGGACAGGACCCTCCTATTAGGTTCCATGTTGGTGAGTTCTAGATCCATGGGAACAGACCCGACAAGTGGCGGGTTCTCCCTTCAGGGCTGCCCTCAGATCCCCCACCAAAAGCGAACATCACTTTTCGTGGGCGAAACTCGGAAGCTAGAAAAAAGCACAAAAAGGCGAAGCTCAGGAACCGGACGTCTGGGAGCCACCAAGCCAGGGTTTCCTTCAACCAACAGGTTCCCAACAAAAGCATTGGACACCCATCGTCCAAGAACACCGCCTGCGACTTTTCCCGCAAAACAGAACTGGCGCTTACAGTAGAGAAAAGGCCATGTAGGTCTGGTGCCCCTTGGTTTTGGTGGTGTTCAAGGGAAACCAAACGCCATTTTGGGGTCCCCTGAACCAAGACACACCCATATGAACCTTCATAACTGATTCATAACCCTTAAAAAACCAGCCTTTGACTTGTACGAGAAAAAAAAGGCAGGAAAAACACAAGCAAGGCTGAGCGCCCCTCAAAATGTTCACTTCAATGGGCCCAATCTTGGTAGAACCAAATCTGGGTTTGAAGCTCCTAAAAATGGACCCCCCCCTCCCAAAAAAGAAGATGGAATTGCCATTTTCCACTTTCATCCAACAAAAAAAGGTGGAATTGCCGTTTCCATTTTTGAAACCACACCAAAAAAAGAGGTAAAATTCCCGCGCCCCAAAACTAGATAGAGACCCCCTGGATCCGAAAATCGCTAGGATCCCTCGCCTCTCCTCCTCTCGTGGAGGAGCTCCCGGTTGGGGACCCATCAGCTCCATCTCGATGAGTAGCACCTGGACCGCCCGAGGCTGCAAGCCGTCAGATGGTGTCCTCGCCCCCTGGAAAAAATGCGAACATAGTTCCAGTAGCGAAATCGATTCACTTTGAAACCAACAGGGAAAAATGACAAAATCATATTAAGCAAATGGAATCCGTCACTTTTATAGCGGATGCAAGCGCACCTCAGGAACTAGTTTGCAACATAGACTCGCTTTCAGCAAAACCACTTCGAACCTACTGCAACTATGGGCTAGGTCCTCCAGCAGTAGGGATTAGAAGAAGGGTACATGATTTCTTTCCTCTCGTCCCTGGTAGTAGGGAAAAAGAGGTGAGAAAGGGCACTACTGGGACTAGATGAAACACCCAGGTCAACCAGGACCATTATTTGTTTTTGTTTTACTGAAACAACCAAAACGAAAAGGACACCTAGGCATGGGTGGCTCGTCCTTTTTACGGCCGAAAACATCGTGCGTGGGTTCCCTGCTTAACCACCAAAAAAGGGGGGCCAACTCAAAAAGAGGCATACCTATGGAACCCAAAGTCAGCTCTGCTCTAGTTGATGCTTTGGATTGGAGGTGTTCCAGGATGGTTTCCAGTTAATTTACAAGAACCAACCACCTGTCAAGGGTCACCTTACACAGGAGTCGCTTGGGCGTCGTGGCAAATGGCAAATCAAAAAAAAAGGCCAAGAGGCTCGGCTGCCTGTGAGAACCCGCATTTAGGAATCATCTCCGGACCCTCCTGGATATACTTCTAGGTCCTCCAGTAGAGAGGTTAGAACAAGGGTACCCTTTTTTCTGTAGTCTATTTTAGCACGGGAACCCTACCCAAAAAAGGGTAGAAGGGCACTACTGGAAAACCTAGTCTTCGAATGTGGACCCCTTTTCTCTGCATTGAGCAGAGGGTGGCCTCATTTGGTTGCAGAAGAACCCGATTAGAGAAGGATCCAATGCTAGTCGGTGGTTCCAGGGAAAGAAGCAGGAAACAAGCATTGCACGATTCCAACCAAATTTCCCATCTTTGATCATGACCGAAACACCCAAGGAAGCTCAACTCAAAACTACCTGTCCGAGAGGTAAGGCTTAACCCACTCCCACAAAAAAGGAATGGATCTTTCTCTAGGAAACCCCAAATTGGGGGTGCTTTTCCTTTGAATTCCGTGTTTAACCCCAAACTGCCAATGTCCAGCGACCTCTGAGATGCCCGCTACTCTGCGCGATGTTGATCGATCCTCACAGAGAAAATCATGTCAGGACTTGGTGTCACGAGTCAGTTCCCTTCCAGGGACCCGCAGTCCGGTTCCGTGAAAAGGGGGGGTCGCGGTTCGTGCCAATCTGCACGAATCAATCACTATAATTGAAAGGATATGCCTGAGCTCAGTTTAAGTCCTCTCGTAATTTCCGCAGGAAAACAATTACCTTCCAGGCCAGTGTTTCTTGTTACATACAATCACCTGTTGACGTTCCCTTTTTAACCAATATGGGAATACCCTCAATAGAACGACAGGCCCGTATATACATAACTTGCCGGTCAGTCTATATCATCTTAAAACTCCCCGACCAATTACTTTCTATTTGCATACAACACAGCACCAAAATTGACCAACATCCACAAGGTTCCATGAACTCTGCAGGAGAGCGAGTTGGACCCCGCCCTCACATTGCCTCCCCTCAAAGCCATTTTTCTTCGCAGTGCCTTTTGACAGATGCTTCTCCCTGACAAAAGGAAGCGTCTCATGTACCTTTTCCCCGTCCTTTTTCCACCTGCTCTGGGGAGAGGTTTGGCATGAATCCCAAAGGAATCGCTCACTTTAACAATGACAGTGGCCGATGAGTGACACCTGCCGTGCCTACGAATTCCGCAACCCGAGCCTCTGCCAAGGTGAAATGGGTGTCTTTCTTTCAGGGTACCTCGGTTTTAAGGGGAAACTACAAGGACCAACGCCGCTGCAATTGCGAATGCCCATGCGCATTGCCGAAGCAACAGGAAAGCTCTGGCAACTCGAAGCTGTGGCCCAGTCCTCATCCCTGGAAACGCTGCTTGCAACAATGTGGGGCTTCGCAACTAGCCCTTTCTGTGACACCAAAGTGGCATTTCTATCCCCATGACAACTTTAGGCTACATGAGTCTCTTTAGACGACTTTAGCTACTTGAGGACTACTCACTTCCTGAGTGGATTAGCCAAAAGGAGTCTCTCAACTTTTCTCATTCACCACCAAAGCTGGTCTTAAAAAAAGTGACGACTCAAGCCCGGGGAAAAAGAAACAAAAAACGGAACTCGGGAAGTGAGACTAAAGGGACCAACGAAACACCCACGGCCCAAGCCGAACATTTCGAAAATTTCGCCTCTCGCCGTGAGGCATCCGCCTTTGCCAACACCTGGCGACTCTGGCCGTCAGGGTTACCTTCGTAGAGAGGTTGGAATAAGTTGGTACCCGTTTTTCATTTTTTGTTTTTCTTTCAGTAGTCTGTTTTAGTAGTTTCGTTTAAAATCTTTCTGTAGGCTGTTTTAGTAGGTTTTATATTGTTTTTTCTTTCTGTAGTCTGTTTTAGTAGGGGAACCCTCCCCAAAAAAGACGCTGAGAAAGGGCACCAATTGCTGGGGGACCTAGCCTTTAGTTCTCCCCGAAATGGAGAGATTGAACCCCGAATTACTTGCCGGCCCAGCTGTTCAAAATGGGTTGGGTTCGCCAATCCATTTTTCCATAATCTCGAGCAACTGAAGGGACCGGTCCCTGGAGCAACCGAAGGCACGGATTCAGGATTACCTTTCAACAGCCCAACTTTTCAAGCGACGGAAGATCTTCAATGGTTTTCGGCAGGGAAATGCGCGACATTTCAAGAATCAGGTACTGAGTCACAATCAAAACCATGTATTAAAATGGTTGACCCAGAACCATGTAAAAACAAAGGCGGCCAAAATGGGACATGCGCATGTCCCGCAAAAATCCGCCTCTTTTTTCGGCAGGGACATGCGCCCACAACTTATCCGGAAAAAACCAGGTGAACCTCTTCCCTGGGCTTTCTCCGGCTCTGTGAAATTTTGGGCCCGCGGACCAGCCGGCCCTTCGGCCTTGCCGCGGGGGGTGGCCGGCGGCGTGAGCTCGCGGAGGGAGCCCTCCCACATGAACCTGGCAAGTTGGTTGCGGGTCGCTGGTTGCGTGGGCTTTTTGGAGTTGGAACCCCCCTCTTTAGGGCGGTTTTAGCCGCAAACCTGCCTCTTTAGGGCGGTTTTAGCCGCAAACCTGCCTCTTTAGGGCGGTTTTAGCCGGAAACCTGCCTCTTTAGGGCGGTTTTAGCCGGAAACCTGCCTCTTTAGGGCGGTTTTAGCCGGAAACCTGCCTCTTTAGGGCGGTTTTAGCCGGAAACCTGCCTCTTTAGGGCGTTTTAGCCGGAAACCTGCCTCTTTAGGGCGGTTTTAGCCGGAAACCTGCCTCTTTAGGGCGGTTTTAGCCGGAAACCTGCCTCTTTAGGGCGGTTTTAGCCGGAAACCTGCCTCTTTAGGGCGGTTTTAGCCGGAAACCTGCCTCTTTAGGGCGGCCGGAAACCTGCCTCTTTAGCCGGAAACCTGCCTCTTTAGGGCGGTTTTAGCCGGAAACCTGCCTCTTTAGGGCGGTTTTAGCCGGAAACCTGCCTCTTTAGGGCGGTTTTGCCTCTTTAGGGCGGTTTTAGCCGGAAACCTGCCTCTTTAGGGCGGTTTTAGCCGGAAACCCGGTTTTAGCCGGAAACCTGCCTCTTTAGGGCGGTTTTAGCCGGAAACCTGCCTTTAGGGCGGTTTTAGCCGGAAACCTGCCTCTTTAGGGCGGCCGGTTTTAGCCGGAAACCTGCCTCCTCTTTAGGGCGGTTTTAGCCGGAAACCTGCCTCTTTAGGGCGGTTTTAGCCGGAAACCTGCCTCTTTAGGGCGGTTTTAGCCGGAAACCTGCCTCTTTAGGGCGGTTTTAGCCGGAAACCTGCCTCTTTAGGGCGGTTTTAGCCGGAAACCTGCCTCTTTAGGGCGGTTTTAGCCGGAAACCTGCCTCTTTAGGGCGGTTTTAGCCGGAAACCTGCGGTTTTAGCCGGAAACCTGCCTCTTTAGGGCGGTAGGGCGGTTTTAGCCGGAAACCTGTTTAGGGCGGTTTTAGCCGGAAACCTGCCTCTTTAGGGCGGTTTTAGCCGGAAACCTGCCTCTTTAGGGCGGTTTTAGCCGGAAACCTGCAAACTCTTTTCTCGCTCTCTTGCTTTGGGGGTGGGGGGGGGGGATACAATACATCTTCCTCTTTTTTGGGGGGATGGGGGAGGGGGGGAGAGGGAGTCATCTGGATCTGTGCCAAAATGGGGGACCCCTTTAAAGGTTCCCTTTGACCTCCGATTATACAAACCAGCCCGCGAGGTAGCGTCAAACAACACACACATCTATGAATACACGGCAATAATCATCACCAGAAATCGATAGGGGCCTACCTAACCAAAACCCTGGCAAATTTGTTTGTTGCTCATACGCAAGTGGACTGATTGCTTGAGAAAGGGGAACAGGAGGGGGCTCATACGCCTTTTCAACCCCCTACCTTGTATTTTCGGATAAACCAAGAGGTCACAAAGCAGGTTTGGGGTGCAACAACCTGGTTCTGAACAAGTCTGGCACCGCTCCAGGTGCCAGGGTTGCGAACTAAAGCCGGAGCAGAAATTCTTCAAGCGCACGCTGAACAAGGCTCCCGGGAACCCTCCATCAACTTCCCCGGCAGCTTCTCCTTTCTGGTTGAGCGATTTCCCGGGAAAAAGGACGCCTCTTTGGCCTTGGTGCCTCTTGGCTCGCTTACTACACAGGGCACCTTTTCAAGGTGCTTCGTTCATGTCCGTGGTTTGGGTTGGGAACCGGGTTAACAGGACACCAACCATTTCAGGCCCCTTTGGGGGCAAAAAAAACAGAGATACATCCAGAATGTCACTCTTCCAAAACCTGAAAAAATCTTTGGATGTCTGGCTCCCTCTGATTTGTAGGTCCTCCAGATTTGAGAGGTTCGAATAAGGCTACCAGTTTTTTTTTGCCGTTGTCTAATGTTGACCCAGGATAAATAAACCCGTCCCACTATTAAAGGGGTGTTCCCTCCAAAACTGGTCTGAATCCCCACTAAAAGGGGACACCCCCCGATCAAAATCAACCAGGGGTTGGAACCTTCCCAACTCAGCCCAGCAACACACGTGAGTTATAATATTTGTGGCTACCCCTTGGTCGATTTCTGCTTCCCCTTTGTCGTGGCCAAGAAACGGGAGACCAAAAGGAAAGCCACGACTTTTCTGCCAGGGCTCCGATTCATCTGAGTGAATTATCATAATTTTCACCACCCTGAAATAAGGTCGTTGGGCGGCTATTCTAGCCACATAAACCACCATTTGGGGTGAATTCGGTCACCCAGTCAAACAGCAGCACGATTCTTGAGCTGTTCCCTTTTTGTGCGACCCCGAGTCTCCGGCCCACAGCTGCTGCTGAGGTTCGGCGGGGTGGGGTACACCTCGCTGCTGCGAGTGCGCCTGCGGAACTTCGATGCCGTTGGGCGATGGGGCGAAGCTTCGAAGGATCACTCTAGGTCCTCCAGTAGAGTAGAGAGGATAGAACAGGGTACCAACTTTCTTCTGTAGTCTATTTTACTAGGGGAACCCTCCTCAAAAAAAGGGTAATAGGGCACTACTGGGGACCTTGTCACTTCAGGCCAGGGTTGTGGGATCAAGGGGTGTATCCCACCAATTCTGTGATACAAGGGAATCTCCCCCCTTTAAATGGGGGGGTAGTCTTTGGGATGTGCGTTTTCGCACCCTGAAAAAATGAGAAAATCATTCCAGTATTGAAATCGATTCACTTTGAAAATAACACATTAATATTAAGCAAGTGGAAGCCATCACTTCCGGCGGATGCAAGCGGATCTAAGGAGCTTATTTGCAACATAGACTCGCTTTGAGCAAAACCACTTCGAACCTACTGCAAGTATGGGCTAGGTCCTCCAGTAGAGAGCTTAGAATAAGGTACCCTTTTTCCTGTATTCTATTTTAGTTGGGGAACCCTCCCCAAAAAAGGGTAAAAGGGCACTACTGGGGGACCTAGTGGGAGAACAGTAACCACGATATGAACCTCTGAGGGTATCTGGTGAAATTCCAAATGGAGGACCCCCAGTCGCACGGTTCCAGGAACAATGTTGAGAGGTGTTGTTTTATGTTAGCCTAATGGGCCCACGTCAGTTGCTTCGACAGGCGCTGGCTCCGTAACCTGAGTCTGAATATAGATTGCATGTGGAGGGCACCCACACTTCCACAATTCAAGTAGAACATGAGAGTCAGCAACATCGTCATACATTCTTGTCCCATGACGCTTCTAGTCGCAATCTTGACAACGTTTCGTCAAGCATCCCACTATGTGTCACATGAGATATCGGGTCAAATATGTAACGAGATGCGATAAGAAGTTGGTCATGCTTCTCCGATGGTCATAACGTAATTTGGCAATTGAATACACAGCTCCATTCGAATTATGTTGGGCCCTTAATTCATCTGGGGAAAATACCGGGGCACACTAAAAACGCTCACATATCCGGGCTGTCCAAGCCGACCGCCTGCTAACATGTCTAACTTTTGGTGTGGAAACTCCCACTACCTCACTTCCTGAGTTGATGAGCCAAACAAAGTCCAAACTTAATCATTTGCCGCTAAAATGGCAACCAAACCCCAACAGTCCATGAACTGAAGAGGACTACACCCAAAGTGGTCCAAACAAAAGTCCGGCGAAACTGAGCTCAGGAAGTGAGTACCAAACCGCCGAAAGAACGATCCAACCGCCCGTTTGGACCCGGATGGCTGGGAACGGAGACTCGCCTCAAGGCACTACCCGTCGGAGGTGCCTGGTGTCAAAGCGACGCCTTTTCCGGTTTCAGGTGGCTCTGTCTGTTGAGTCGGTTGCCCGTTTTGGGTTGGGCTTGAAGGGAAAGCAAAACTGGGCTGTCCAAGCTGATCCCCTACTAAAAGTTCTTTCTTTTTTTAAAAAATATATACATATATATATATATATTTATAAACTTTTCGTGGCTTGGTGGAAACTACCACTAAACCCTGGAAAACCTGAAAACCGAGCGGGATGGCTGAGAACCACCAAGAAAAGAAAACCCTTGCCAGTGTTTTGGGGGGTTCGACTCCCAAAAACGAAACACACAGGTTGATCGGGATCGCTTCGGGGCCCTGTGTGAACCCTTGCTTCTTCAGAATAGCTCCTGGAATCTTGTTCAGGCCAAATGTTGGAAAAGCTCCCCTCTCGGTAACTACTGACTTGGACTCGGTTTCTCAACGTGAGCAATGCAATAAACCTTCCACTCATAGTTCTGGGCATCTAACAAAACATCGCTCAACCGAAACCAATCAGAAAAGAAGAAAAAAACACTTCCAGGAAGAACCCTTCATTCAGGTTGCAAGTCCCCCAGGGTCGCATTTGGGGAGCATCCGATATTAGCCAAGGTTTCCCATTTCATTTTGACCTCCATTTCCCTTTGGCCTAAAATCAAAGGAAGCCCACCGCAAAAAAAGCGCAAGGCAAGGATGCTTTCACCAAAAGGGCAAGCAAAAATCGGGCTCGACCTGCTTTGACAGGCAGGAAGCTCACTGTCAAAGGCCAAAAGGTGAGCAGTTTATTCAGCTTCAGAGCCGAATCGGTGGTTTGTGGTCAGGTGGTGTTGCCCATGTACCCTTTACAAGAACCAAAATTCACATCCAAATCCCCAAATCATCAATTGAGGGAACACCTGATTTATTTCAGGGCGAAAAACCAAAACAACTCGTGCTTGCCCTGCAAATTCACACCAGACTTGCTGGTGCTCAGGGATTGTGGGAATGAACCCAGGGCTCCCCTTCAATTCATCAAGGGATGGCTTCTCTTGGGCTCATTCCATGTTTCGTTCCCTGCGTCTCTCGCACAAAGTCCCCAAAGCGCCGCACAAACATATGGCCTTTCGGAAAAATCGATGGGTTTCCCTGGTAGATGGAATCACCCATCTAAACCAGGAATCGCCCTCTATCTTTCAAGCAAACCAAAAAGGACACCTATGGTGGTGGCCTTATCAAAAGAACAACCCAACCTTTGGGCCGTCTTTTTTGATTTATTTCTTTTTAGGAAACATTTTTTTTTAAAGAAAATAGGAAAACCCAAAGGAAAGAACCACCGATGCGCACGAAAACTTCCGCTTACGCTCGGTTGCCGGGCCCGAAAGCGCAACGAAGACACCCAAGCGCTGTCCTCTTGGACCTGCGGCGAAGGCGCACTCAAAAGTTACCGACTGCAAGGAGCCAAAGCCAAATCGCAGTGGTTCTCAAAAATATTGATTGGAATTAAAGAGAATCTAGCACTACTGGATTTGCTTGGGTATTGTTTTCTGCTGTGGGTGAAGAATACCTGGTAACCCGAAAGACTTGGTCGAGAATAGTTGCAGTTTGGCCCATGTTGGTATTAAAGGGAATCTAGCACTACCGGATTTATCGTCTTTCGTTTGTTTTTTTGGGGGGGGCTGTGTTGTCAAAAAAAGTTGGTAACCCCAAAGATTTGGTTGAGAAAATTTGCATTATTCCCCATGTTGGCTTTAAAGGGAATCTAGCACTACTGGACGTGTTTGTTTGTTTTGTTTTCTGCTGTGGGTCAAAACTGGTTGGTAACCCCAGAGATTTGGTTGAGAATATGTGTTTTTTCCCTATGTTGGTTTTAAATGGAATCTAGCACTACTGTTTCTTTTGTTTTTCTGCTGTGGGTAAAAAAATAGTTGGTAACCCCAAAGATTTGGTTGAGAATATTTGCAGTTGTCCTATTTTACAGGGAATTTAGCACTACTGGATGGCTGTGGGTCAAAAATAGTTGGTAACCCCAAAGATTTGGTTGAGAATATTTGCTTGTTTCCCCATGTTGGCTTTAAAGGGAATCTAGCACTACTGGATTTTGGTTGATTGTCTTTTTCTGCTGTGGGTCAAAGCTGGTTGGTAACCCCAAAGATTTGGTTGAGAATATTTGCTGTTTTCCCCATGTTGCTTTTAAAGGGAATCTAGCACTACTGGATTCATCGTCTTTCGTTTGCTTTTTTGGGGGGCTGTGTTGTCAAAAAAAGTTGGTAACCCCAAAGATTTGGTTGAGAATATTTGCATTATTCCCCATGTTGGTTTTAAAGGGAATCTAGCACTACTGGATTTGTTTGTTTGTTCTTTTTTCTGCTGTGGGTCAAGAATAGTTGGTAACCCCAAGATTTGGTTGAGAATATTTGTTTTTTCCCCATGTTGGTTTTAAATGGAATCTATCACTACTGGGTTTTGTTTGATTGTTTTTTTCTGCTGTGGGTCACAAATAGTTGGTAACCCCAAAGATTAGGTTGATCATATGTGCTGTTTTTCCCATGTTGGTTTTAAAGGGAATCTAGCACTACTGGCCTTTTTTGATTATTTGTTTTCTGCTGTGGGTAAAAAAGTAGTTGGTAACCCCAAAGATTTGGTTGAGAGTATTTGCTGTTTTCCGGTTTTACAGGGAATCTAGCACTACTGGATTTTGTTTCCTGTTGTGGGTCAAAAATAGTTGGTAACCCCAAAGATTTTGTTGAGAATATTTGCTTTTTTCCCCATGTTGGTTTTAAGCAGAATCTAGCACTACTGGATGTTGTCTTGTTATTTTTTTGGCTGTGGTCAAAAATAGTTGGTAACCCCAAAGATTTGGTTGAGAATATGTGCATTTGGGAATCTAGCACTACTGGATTTATCGTCTTTCATTGTTTTTATTTTTTTTGGCGGGGGCTGTGTTGTCAAAAGAAGTTGGTAACCCCAAATAATTTGTTGAGAATATTTGCTGTTTTCCCCATGTTGGTTTTAAAGGGAATCTAGCACTACTGGATTTATGGTCTTTCATTTTTTATGTTTTTTTGGCGGGGGCTGTGTTGTCAAAACAAGTTGGTACCCCCAAAGAATTTGTTGAGAATATTTGCTGCTTTCCCCATGTTGGTTTTAAAGGGAATCTAGCACTACTGGATTCTGTTTTATTTTGTTTTTTGGCCGTGGTGGTCAAAACTAGTTGGTAACCCCAAAGATTTGGTTGATAATATTTGCTTTTTCCCCATGTTGGTTTTAAAGGGAATCTAGCACTTCTTTTTTTGGGGCTACGGTGGTCAAACATAGTTGGTAACGCCAAAATGGGTTAAACCTGGAAAATGGAGACATAACAATTCCTGGCGGCTTAATATTGAGCCACACCCAAATGCCCTCCAATTGGCCATGGGTCAAAATCCAAAATCCCGCAGTGGACATCCCAATCCAACCACTAAAATAGGTTCTAAAAGGAGTGGTGAATTCAGCTACCAAAATGGGATCCCAAAACGGTTTTGACAACAGCCAATTCGCAGCAACCGTTCGACCTTCGGGACCCTGAAGGGTCCCTAAGGGAAAAAAAAGAAGTCCCCAGGACCCCCAAAAGAAGCTGAAGGGTTCCGGCTGCGCAAGCGGGAAAGTACTCAACCCGAAGGACCCAAACAAGGCGGGTGCTGATTGCAACCACCAAACAAATTATACTAGGTCCTCCAGTAGAGAGGTTAGAATAAGTTGGTACCCGATTCTTTTTTCTGTAGTCTATCTTAGGGGAACCCTCCCGACCACAAAAAGGGGTGAGAAAGGGCACCTAGCTGGGGGACCTGGTATATGGGAGCGCAAAAAATGAAAGGTCGGGTCAGGTCGATTCGCCGGCCAAGTTGATGAGAATACACTGGAGCCTTCTGGAGCTGACGTGTTCTTCCCTGTTATCACCACACAATCGCCGAGCTACGAACGCCACAAACAAAAATGGGCCGTCCTCAGATCCCCCCGGCAAAAGTGAATGACTTGAGTGGGATAAATGGACATCCCCACTAAAAACCAAAAAACTCACAAGCTAAGGGTATGGCTGGGAACCACCAAGACAAATAATCCAAAATCAAAAGGAGCAATCTGGCCACTCTACGTAAGCGGACCTTTCACCTCGTCGATTCTTAGATACCCTTGTTGCCGCGCAACTACACATTAGTACCTGTAGCCTGAAGTGAGAAACAAGTTGGGGCACGGAAACCCAGGAAAACAACATATTGCCAGAAGTGATGAGTTCCTTTCAAAACCAACAAGGGAAAGTAAAAAAGGAAAAAACTCTTAAGCAAATGGAGGTCATGTGTCTGCTCAGCGTCTTGAATTGAGTGCGAGCCAGTGTGCCCACATCAATCCTGGGCAATTGCCCGCGGTGGCTTAAACCGACCACTGGCGTGCAAGTGTGAAAGCAAGGCTGGAAATGATGTCAGGACCCCAATGCCAATCATGTCACCCAGGGCGTCCCAGAAGCAAAGCCCTCCAGACATTGCAATTTGACTGTTGAATTCGGACTCCTTCAGTGATCATCTAAATGGGTGGTCAATTCACCTACACCAACCAAAATGGGATCCCAAACCGGTTTTGGCCACCGATTTCCATACGAGGCCGTTGCGTCAACTAAGTCGTCCGACCAAGGGCTCTCCAATTGAAGCAAAGACCTAGACAAATGTCATTTGTATTCTGTGCATGGGTATGGGTCAAAATTAAACCACAGGGAATTGGACCGCAGATTTTAGTCTACGTTTCCGCTTGCCAGGGTTCCATTTGGGTACCTATTTTTGACCCACAGCCATATGTGTTGTGCATATAGGTCATTGTATATGTAGCACATTATCAACACATGGAAGCAAAGCTTCTTTTGCAACCGGGGAAAGGGCAACTTGCTGAAACTGTTTTGAAGGCACTCGTCTCGTCGAGAGTCGCCCGAGCCGCGACTCGCGCCTCTTTCTTCAACTGCGCCTCGGTGTCGTGTGAGTGACCCGTTGAGTGGTTGCTAAGAAATGGGTTCTGGGATGCCACACCAATTGTCCTTTAATGCAAGCTGGAACCCAAATCGTACTGACTCATTCTGGCTCGAGCGCGCGGCTTCATGTTACCCCTGGTTGGCAGGTTCAAGATACACAGATGCCTCATTCAAAGGCTTTCCACACAGTGCAGTAACAGAAGGGGCCCCAACTCACTTCAGACACTCAAGCACTCTACCCCCAAAAACAGGACTGAAGTAGAACTGCGGGCGCGCAGTTTTTGTGGGTGAGACTGTTCCCTACTAACCATGTCCTCACAGGATCCGATCGGTTGCTCTGAAAGGCTCTTTTTCAAAAGCAAATTTGGATACCCAGCTCCAGAACGGCTCCCCTCCAACCACCAGCTAGCTTTACAAACCTTCATCTACCCAGCTTTTGACGCATCACTGGGTGAAACCCATTCCTCTGCAAGTCTCAAGGGGAGACGTGAATTTGGGGTGGCGCGCCCCTGTCCATTTTAAGACTCGACAAATCTCCACCCTTTGGCGCTTCTCACTTGTCCACAAGAACCGGACACAAGAAACAGAGGTCAAAAAGACAATTTGCTTTGGGCAAGTTGAGGTGTTGCAACGCCCACATTTTTGTGATAAAGCACGACTACTTAAGTCACGTAATTTCAAATTGGTTGATTCCCATCCAACCACGACTACTTCACTTGGAACCCAATTCCCTGCTTTCCACAGCAAGAGGCAGCCAAAAACCAATGGGGATAGACCGGCGACAGAGCACTGGATCGGGCGCATGCCGCGCCCCTAAACCAAAAAACCAAGTGCCAAATCTTGCCAAGTTCGCGCTAACCAACCCCCAAACCAACCAAACAGCCTAAAAATCCACCCCAAAACCAAAACAACAATCCGCGCCAACTCCAACTCCACCCCAAAATCCGTTGCCCCCCAACCTGAACCAACCTGACCTCGCAGCCCGAAGCCTGCCGCTCCGAAACCGCCCCCCAAACCCCCCCAACCCCCCCGCCTTCTCGCGGGGCCGGTGCAATTGCTGCATCTCCTCCGGCAAGTGCTCGGGGTCCTGAGGTCCACAGAACGACTCGTGAGGCGCGCCCGGAAGTGATCAACTCATGGGGGCTGGGGGGGGAGGGAGGGGAGGGGGAGGGAGCCCTTGTCAGGCCCTCAATGAGGCCGTATTTATGGCCTTTTGGGGCTCCCTGCCCCGAACCCCCTCCCTCCCCCCAGCCCCCATGATCAACATGTGGCCATTTGTCAAAACCCAAATCGTACCCCCAGTGAACGGGACCCAATCCAATTATTCAAATAGGTCCTAAAATGTGGTGGTGCACCGAAAACCACAAAAATGGGATCCCATTGGTTTTGACCCACAGCCAAATGGCGCCAAAACAAGGGCCCTAGGCCTCACTTCTGAAGTGGATGGCCCAAAACGGTAGCTTTGTGTGAAAGCGAAGCTCAGCCAAAGGCTTAGCTGCCCTTCAGGGACCCAGACAAAGGAGATCACCTTTTGGGGCCAGGACTTGCCATGGGAACCCGAGGGAAAACCAAAACGACAAAAGGCTTTGAAGAAATGACACCCAAATCAGGGGGCCCAAGCATGCTGGTGCGATAGGTAGGGAATGGCCGAGACCGGGTGTTGGGAATGAACCGGTTTTGGGCATTCCCTTAAAGTAAGCCTTAAAGGAGTGTCATTTCCCTCATTCCTTGCTGAGAACCAGCATGCTAGGCGGTGGAGGGGCAAAACTTTCACCTTTTTCGAAAACATGTCCAAACAGCCCCCTTGGCCTGATGACTCCCACACCAAAGTCCTCGAACCAGTAAGTCTCATAGCGAACCACGTGGGCCGAACCTTAGCCGAGCTCGAAGGCAAAGGTTCTGCTCGGTGTGGAAGCTGAATCTTGTCCGGGACTATCCCTATTGCCGGTCTGGAGGCAGCCTATATATTCCAGGGTGGTGCAAATCAAACCTATCATGGCTTCAATGGGCGCAAAATAGAGGCTTCGGAAAGAAGCAAGGCAAACACTCCTTTTGGGACCTGGGTCATTTAGCCAGCCGATCGACCCCAGGAATGTGTCGAGCTCACAGGACTGTTGACTTGCCGTGGTTGGTTGCTTTGAAAGTAATGGACACCCGGATTAACCGGGGCTCCCTCTATTTTCCCTTTAACCATCATGCCACCAAAGAAATCATCTTTCAAAGGTCGAACACGGTGATGTTTAACACCATCAAAAAGAGACAATGTAGGGACCCCCGCAAAACCATGAGCAACAAATCAAACGAGCGGATCTCCGGGCCTTTTGGTCGTAACCCTTCGCACCCACTTGCTGGCCCCCAGGCTGAGGTCTTGGAAGGTGGACAAACATTCCCGCAGGCCTGGCACAGGCCGAATGTGTGGCACGTCACGGGTCTCTGTACCTGTGTTTTTTGCCTGGGTTTCTGAAGGAAAACCAACTAGGTCCTCCAGTAGAGAGGTTAGAATAAGGGTACCCGATTTTTTTTCTGTAGTCTATTAGTAGGGGAACCCTCCCCAAACAAGGGGTAACAGGGCACCTAGCTGAACAGGAAAACCAGCCATTTTGGTGGGGTCCCCGAAGAAAAGCACACACCATGGCGAGTGAGTGAAGTCCAGAAACTGAGAAAGTCAGAGGAATAGTTTTCCAGGGGATCCGGATCTTGCAAAACCTCCGGAATCCCAGGGGAAAACGAATCCGGTTTTTGGAAAGAGCGATGGCTTTTCAAATAATGGACAAGGAAACAACCCCTAGAAATCTCCTTTCCCCCGAGCCTTCGGACCGAAAGCTGCCCGAGTGGCTCGAACGAGAAAACCAGAAAACTTGACACCAGGCTCTCTGGTCCCTGTGGCGCGCTTTGGCGAAACCCTTCCATACTCGTCGTTTCCTTGTTTGATTCTAGGAACCCAAAAACTTGGATGCTTTCTGCTCCCCTGCTAAAAGTGTTTAACTTTTGGTGGTTTAATGGAAAACCCACTAGTTGGCAAAAAGTTAAGGTCCTAACATCCAAGCAAAATGGACCAAAGAAAAGGCCGGCGTCCTTTTGCCGAGGTTTCCCGGACCCTCAACCTACCCTGAAAAAACGGAACACCATCTCAAAACTCACAAGGGCGGTAGGTCGCGGGTCCAGATACTCATTTGTGGGGGCATGGGATATGGTGTTTTTGCTGGGTCCCCGATAGGGAATCCCTTTCTATTCCTCGGGAAATATATGGCTTGGGACTCGTGGCCGCTGAACCGAGCCTCCAAGCCCAAAACGGGCTCCCAGCAACACATCTCCCAAGAGAATCCCAAACTCTCTAGGGGTTGATTCCCCATTTCAACCCTCGTTCTTTTCAACAACCGGCCGTTTCCCCCGGGTTGTATGGTTTCCTGAAAAGAAGGATGCCTGGAAAGAAGGGACATGGAAGGTACCCCCAGAAACTCACTTTCCGGCCCAAGACATGTCCAAAGTTCTTAGTTCCTCAAGTTTGGTCTTCCCAACAAGAAAGCCCAGGAACTCAGGAAGTGAGAAAAGGACTCTTAGCCGTTTTCTAGAACACCCTCTATTCATCTGGTTGATTTGAGCAGAATTTTGGCCAACCGAAGGGTCACAAGGATGTTCCATGGACATGCCTAAGGTAGAATTGGGTTGTGAGGTACTTTCAAACCAACACAAGTCCCGATCCGGCCTGAAGCAACTTCTGGTTAACGTGTCATAATTATTTAGGCCTCTTGGACCCAGCGGTACCCTTGAACCTCCGTGAACATGTGGACAAGTGCACCGAAAAGGCAGATCAAGGCAGACCTTGGGTGCTAAAGGGGGGGTTCTGGAAAAATAGAAACACGTACATCTCCTGGCGTCCTTTTGGGAATTTTTCCAATGGTGGGCAACTTGGGTGTGGCTTTTGGCGAGGGTGCCCCTTCTTGCAGTTCTTAAAATTGGGAAATCAACAAGGAAGCATTTTGGAGGGGGTCCCTCAAAACATGCGCGTTTTCAGGGGGGACCCCCCAAAATGGTGGCTTCTCTTTGGGTGTTCCTTGAAAAGCCACAAAAAAGGAACCCAATCTGTTCCTGTAAAAAGCCAAAAAAAGGAACCCACTCAAATGCTGGTTTCTCTTCGGGTGTTTCTTTAAAAGCCACAAACAAGGGAACCCACAATCAAACGACACCACCCCTTCGGCACCTATCTGTGCTAGCAAGCAAGCAAGCCCACCTGCCTTGATGCAGGGCGCGGGCCTCCCGAGATTCTGGAAGCCTCGGTGGGTACCACTAAACCCAAAACGGTTCATTCCGGACTTCCCCTGCCTATCGCACCCTCAAGTCTTTTTGAGGCATGGTGAAACTTGCTCTTGTTAGCTCAAGGGAACCTAGGTCCTCCAGTAGAGAGACGTTAGAATAAGGGTACCCGATTCGTTTTCTCTAGTCTATTTTAGTAGAAGGGCACTGGAGGACCTGGAAACCCGACAAAGCGAACAAAAGCTAAGGGGATGGTTGGGAGCCACCAAGGTTCCAACTTGAAACTCATAGAATGCTCCCTTCCCCCGCCCCTCCCCCAAAGCTCCCCCCCCTCCCCAAAAAAAGGAAAACGGAGTTCCAAAACAAGGCCTGAATCGGGCATGGCATTCCATGAGGAACGGGCTTGCAACAAACCTTGTCTTTTGCAGCCTGCTAAAAATGAACAGAATTCAACCATTTAGAAACATGCCAACAACATTGAACATGAGTTTACCTTTCTCCTCTCCCCCAAGGGAATACACAACAAAGGTGATACCCTAAAATGTCGAGAAGCACCAGGGAGTGTTTGACTTTCACGCTAACTGCAACAGCGCTAGAAAGTCAACAAAAGTGTCTAGACATACTGTGGATAGGCGAAATCCTGCACCACCTAAGCAACCCTGGTTTGTGCTGATTCCCCTGTAAAATCCCCTGCGAAATGGATTTCGTCCACCCACAGCAACCCACGGGTGATGTGTGAAAAGCCGTTCGGGGCCCTGTCCCACGGAGCTTGAATTCGCCAAGCAAACATCAGGGACGCGAGACAAAGAACCTTCCTGGACTCGGTAAACCCTTTCCGAGGTCGCCGAATTTGTTGGTTTGGCCCAGCCAGATCACATGCATTGCACTAGTGATCAGAGTCTAAACTTACAAGCTGCAAAAACACATCGGCGGAATCGCTTGGTTTACCCATCGATTTTCAAGCAAAGCCTCAGGACAGTAAGGCCAGCACAGGATGGGAATCGCCTTCACTGCCACCCAGCGGCCTCTCCACCTGGCAAAAATGTGATGCGCAAATGATGGAACCACCAGGTCAGCCAGGGCCACATTGACATGGCCATGGGGCATATCCTATGGCTCCATGTTGGAGTAGATGAACATCCATTTGCCACCTATTTTGATGTTCACCAGGGGTACAGGGTGTTAACCCACAGCCACATATTTTTTCTTACCAAACCCACCAAAACGGACACCTATGCCGGGGTGGTTTCCTGTTGCCAAGGGGTCACCTATGAACACCCACCGATTCTGCTCGGTTTCCTGCAGCAACCATGCGCTGACCTCACTGGTACTAAATCGAGGGCCTCGCAAAATCGCGGTCCGGAGAAGTTAAAGACCCGTCTCGGTTCCTTTTAGGTAACTTGAAGCACGGACATCTACGAGATCTCCTAGGCCTTGGAGATCATCTCGCCGATCCCGTAGAACGGGTTCATTACGGACAGCCCCTCCTTCGTGTCCGTCTCGTGCTTGGTGATGGCGCTGTCCACGGCCGCCATGTTCAAGTTCTTCCCGAAGATGATGCCAATGTCTGTTGACCTACCCCGGGTCCAACAGCGGCCGTTTGAGCGGAAAACATAGGGGTGCTCTTAGACCACGGGTGTCTATACCTATTTTATAAGGCGCCAACAGAGGCCACATGAATGGCAGTCAGAGGCAGTCCCGCGGACACGCCCTGAACGAAAAAAACGAAAAAATGGGGTTGTCCTTTGTGTTTCTCTTTGAAACCAGAAAAGAAGGGGTACCCTTAAAAAAGACAAGCCCAAACTTGCTTGGGTTGGTTGGTTTGAGCTCGTTTTGGTGCCCCTTCGAGCAACATTCTGCCCAACCCTGCCCAACCCTCAAGCACAAGCAGCTTGGGGACAGAGTGATTGATGGTCTGAGATGTCCAGTGGCCATGGGAAAACAAAAGAATCGGCACCCTTTCAGTTGGTTGAGTTCAAAGGAAAAAGGAACCCTTACCCCAAAAGAAGTCAAAACAAGGAAGCAACCCACTCCCTTACCCCAATAAAGTGTTGAAAAAAAGGAAGCCACCCACAGGGATCCTGCTGGGCACCGGATCTTCAGCGCTTTGACCCCAGACAGAGCGCGCGCTTGCGCGGTCGCCTGGAGGCCGCGGCGTCGCTCACGCGGGCAGCCCAAACGGTGCCCATGCCACCTGAGCCACAATCAAAACCGATTCGGGTAGATGAAGCGGATGAAGGTTAGTAACTCACTTCCCAAGTTGACTGGCCAAAAAAAGTTTGAACTTTTTATTTAAGGGGCAGTCCCAGCCAGAAATAGTTGCGGATATCCGCCTTCCTAAGTCTTTACGTTGTTCTGGGTAGACCATTCCAACACCGGGTTTTGATTGTGACTCACCTCGGGCGCCATATTCCCCCCCCCCCCCACAAAGGTGTGTGGGACACCCGAGCAACATGGGGGCCCTCCCAAAAATGAGCCTGGCGCCTTTTGGTTGATCCCGTGTTTTGCTTGTTTCTTCCTCTTTCTTTTTTTTCTCGACCCCTCTTTTGTTCCTTTTGATTCTTTTTGTGGCCGACCTCGTAGACAGTCGTAAAGACATTCCCTGAAGGAATACCCCGCCCACCCCTTCAAAAGGCCTCCCCAAAGTCACCCCCAGAAGAGATCTCCCACAACCGAAGACACTGAAAGACATCACTGACATGAAACCGGACCGGTCACTTGCTCATTCCGGACCGGGTTCTCAAAATGTAGTCGTGGTCCCCCAAAACACTTGAAGTTTCCTCTTGGCGCCCCACTTTCAGCATAGGCCCCTAGGCAAAACACCGCGATTTTGCCAAGAGGCACGCCAAATCTACAGCATGAGCCCAAGATCGAAACTTTCCCAGCCCAAGTTTCCCAGGTACTTCGCCCAGCCCTTTCAAAATCGAAACTTTCCCGAGCTGTACCATGTCGGAATCCTTGGAGCGAGAGGCTCCCGAGTTCCAAGTGTGCGTCTTGCCGCAGGTTTTGGGGAACCCTTCCCGTGGACCAAGGGACGTGTACCACGGTGGCCAAGGGAAACCAACATTGAGAAACTGCTGTGCCGTTTGGGAGGGAGGGGGTTGGGGTGTTTTTTCAACCCAACCAGCCAGCCAGCCAGCCAGCCAGCAGCCAGCAGCCAACCAACCAACTAAACAACCAGGGGACCAGCCCTGCACAAAAACCAGGTGCGGGGAAAAAACACCTCATGGGCTCCCACACTCCCAACAAAATCGGGCGTCCGGCCGCTTCCAAGGCAGTGCCCCAGCCTGGGTGCGGAAAAAACAAACAAACAAGTATTTGCCACACCTTCCCTGACAAGACATGGGGGTTGATCCATGTTCCATTCAGGGCCCCGGCCATGACCATGGGTCACTTTTCCCATGCGGTTGATATATCAAACATCTTTAGTGGTTATCGCCGATGATCATTTCATGTATCGCGGACCGTTTGATCAACCCCCAAATTCGCCATGTGGGTGGCTCGTCTTGTTTGAGGGACTATATCAAGCCCTAGTGGATTCCCTTCGGGGCCCCTTCGGGGTGTTCCTCAGAAAGTGGAGGATCTGGTTGATCTATAGGGCGACTCAGGGAAACCGTTTGGGTGTCTTTTTTTGAGGGTGCCCACCTTTTTGGTGGTTTAAGGGAAAACCGAAAAGGACAAACACAACTTTGTCGGGGTTCCCCTCCCAAATCAGACACACCCGGTTGCTTATCCGTAGAGATCGATTCCAATAGAACATATTCATAAGAAATGGAAGCAACGGGCAGTAGGCCAGGAACAATTGAATCATCACCCATCCCCTTATGGTTCCCTGTGGGTAAGTTAACATTTACGGGCTATCTATCATCCAGTGAGACTGGGAACCAGAGTACAAGTTGTTGGCCCCAAGGTAGACTTAAACCTAGAAATTAATTTCCAAGAGGGTGAGCCCCTTTGGGTCTACTTAAATCGAATCCCGATGTGAACCCCGTAGGGAGGGCCGTTTCCCGTCAAAAGTCTCCTCACAAATTTCTCAGAGAAATTGGGAGCTGCTGGCCCCGAAAGTGCTGCTGGCCCCTCTATGGAGGGAACCCCCCCAACCTCACCAGGATGGATGTGAGGGGGATATCCCGGTCTCTGGCGTGCATGGGACTCCTTTCAAACATGGGGTTCGTGAGCAAATTGGGGGGTATGAAACATCGGCCGGTAAGGTGATGCTTGCGAATTGACCCAAATTAGATGATCACAATCCTAAGATACAAAATGCTGCTTCTATTCACCCAGCCATTGTTGCAACGGATTGAACCTCACGGGGGCCCTCAGTCTGCCGAACAATGCTTCGGCAAATGACCTGAGGTAACCTGGGAGATCCTGATCATCTGCTTGACCTACATTCTTTTTCTGGGTAGCTTCCCCATTCACAGAGAACCTTGATTTCCGGGATTAACAGCAACATATGTGAAGATTTCTCGAAATATGGAACACGGATCCTTGATTTCCAGGCTAACACCAACATGTTAGAAGAAACTCCAAATATGGAAACTTTCCATGTGCTGTCCCCTTGCTTCGCCTTGAAATACAGAAAGCGATCAACCGTGGGTCCCTTTGAATAACACCCATCCGGACGTCCAACAGGCCGGAACTCCGCCACTCTGCAACCCCTGTTCCATTTTTTGACTACTCCAAGGTAGACTCAAACCTGGTGCGTAACAGTTGTTGGATTTTGAGCCACACCCAGGGTTCTTCCAAGCCACACCCCCCCTAACCCAATCATCCCCCAAAATGACTACCGGCAAATAGTTACATGACCCACCCGTGGGTTTAGGTCTATTTGAGGGTAGAAAAAAATGGAACCCTGGCCCCCCCACTGCTCTCCCACTGCAGCCTTGTCATTGAGGCTCCGGCGCTGCATACATCTCTTTGAAACGGCCGTTGTGCCACAGCTGCCTTCCTGCCAACTGCAAGCACCGTTTGGGTCTGTCTTTCGTTTGGGACCCCCCAAAAAAAAATCATCATGGGGTTCCTTTGGTTCCCTGTAAAACAGATCAAAAAGGGGTATCCCAAAAAGACAGGCCTGTTTTTTTGCGGCAGCTGGACATTAAGAGGGACAAATCCCGGGCCCCCCAATCGAGAGCCAAATGGCCAACCTAAACCACCCCCTAGAGGTCACTTACCATTTGATCGCCGCTGGGTGGATGGATATGCCCAATGACTTAAACCTGGGGGCTCCTGCAGGGGAAATTCAAGCACTGAGTTCAAGTTAGCCTGGAAAGATCAGAACATGAATTTGGAAGGGAGCCTTACAACAATGGTCCAAAACCATATTAAAGCATGGTTATGGGTCAAACCCCCGTACCTCCGGTGAACATCCCAATCCCCACTAAAACAAAGCCTAACATGGGTGCACAAACCCCAAAATGGGATCCTATTGGTGTTGACCCACAGCCGCATCTGGGTATCGGCCTGCGTGGGGAAACAAAGCTCCAGGTTCTCAGTCGCTCCCAAATCCCCTCACCTGACTCGGAGGCCTCCCTCGGGACATCCTCAGCGTGTTCGGAGTGGGGGCTGACTGGGGTCATTCTTTTGACTTTCTGAGGGTTATCAAAGTCAGACATTTCACCTTTAAGCCACCACTTCGGGGGTGACTTTGATGGTGGTAAAAAATAATGAGGCCAGGTTGACTCTGTGTGTATCTCTTGCTTTGAGGCTACCCTTTTTGCTGGCTGATTTTTGTTTGGAAGCCAATGGATTCTTGTTTGCTCATGTTGGTGGCAATTCTCCCTATTTTGACACAGACGAGTACCCATTCCGATCACCCGCCCGTTCTCTTTAGACACCACTTCGGCGAGAAGGATCCCTGAAGAGGATCGGGCAGCTACGGCTGGAGTGGATTCCCCAACAACACGTCTTCCATCCAAAGAGTTTCGGGAAGCGAGGTTGACGACCTCAAGTCGACTTAAGCGCAGGGTTTGCTCTTTGGGGAAATCAACCCCTCCTGGGTTTAAGTCTACCTTGGGTAGTCAAAAAATGAAACCCTGATTTGTCTTCAGCAGGGACATGGGACAGTTGGAGAGTGTGTATGTGTGTGTCTGGTGTTTCCCCCCCATCTCCTGCCCGAACTAACAACAGACTACCAGTTGCTCAAATGAACCTGAAAAGGAACCACACCGTGGAAAATCCTTCCCCCCCAACAAACGACTCCAATTAAGGAAGCAGATACATACACACATGTTTGATTCTATGATGTACACACCTCATAGCAGGGCAGTGGTTGCGAAAACCAACACACACGCACACTCATCACAAACATTCATCACACTGACGACTGAATGCCAAGTTGAAGGGTATTCCCCTTGGTACCGCTGAAAGCGTCGCTGGAACTTTTGTCTGCCGCGTCCCTCCCTATTAACCAAACTATGTCATGATAAGAGGGCAGCCATGTGTGTGTGTGTGCGTTCGTGCGCGTAAGCTACAGTTTCGCTTCCTGACTATTTATCATCAAAGTCGTTTTCCCAACAAGCATGAATTCCAGGTCTGGGAGTGAGGGTTAGGCCCTCATCACAACCGAGTGGCCCTAACAGCCATTTCATTGGGGGGCTTCAAGCGTTCAGCTCGAGTCGATTGGGACCCGCCAAATGGCCTTCCCATGGATTGCAACCTGGGAACATGGCATGTACACAGAAAAACGGCGCGCAATGTCTCCAAAGGAAGAACCGCCTCTCTCTTGTTACGAAAGGGATCCCCTACACCGCCCCTTTCTTCGAATGTTCGGCACGGCGATGGCTTGAACACACAATACGACAAACGCTGATCACCTGAGGCACCGACTGTTGCTTCGGCCATTGCAAGAAGACGCGGGCGTGCTAGGGGCCAAGGGGGGAGGTCCGTGTGAGTAACCAGCGGATGGTATAAGCTTCTCAGCAACAAACTAAACTAGGTGTATCAGGAAACCATGAAATAGGAAGCGCAAGCCACTGTTGGGGCTCTTTCTCATGGTACTGGCAGGTGAAGTTGTTTCAGCTCATTTTGAGCTACTATTGAATTCCCCGCGGCTGCAAGGTGCCGTGTTTTCGCGGCTCCCACAGCCAGCAAAGGGCGGTGTCTTGGTCTCTTGTGGATGCCGGGGAAGGCGTGCGTCGGAACGGGTGGTTCTATACATCTGTCTGGCCCAGGGGGAGTTTCCTTCAGGAATATTTTCAGGCGGACTCTGGGAACCCTGCTCCTGCCTCAAGATTCAACTTTCAGAAGGCGGGCAACACATGGTGCTGGATGCCGTTTGGACTGGCAACTCGAGCCCAGCTTGCAGCCCACGCCGATGCCTGACGAGTTACAGGCAAAACTCCGCCGCCTGGTTCAAACAACTGTCACGCAATCCATGTCATATACTCAACTACAGCTGACCATGCACTGCAAACTCGCACCTGCGCTTTGCTTGTAAGCAACATGAGCTCCTGAAACAAGCAGTTCCACCCTGTCAGTCAAAGCGCACGGCTGGCAACTATGACTATGAGTCACTGTTTTGAGACCGGAAACAACAAGATCTGATTAGACTCGCCTAGAAAAACTAGTACAGGTATGCATCAGCACTTCGCGTCGGTTCCGCGAATGCCGGCAGCCGTTATCTGGCTGCCGGTCAAATTCCAGGGCGGAAGACAGAAAAACAAGGATCTCAACAAGGGCAAAGATCTCTACCAAAAGATGTCAGATGTCAGGCTCAAGACATCTAAACAACAACTTATGATAAAGGAGCCCTACAACAAATTCACCACAAACACTTTGGACGACCTCCACGCCCTGTCATTGGACCAACAGCCCTCTGTAAAACAAAGTTGCCGAGAGAGGGCTTGTGAAACCAGCCACGAAAGCAGTTGCAGCGGACCTTCGAATCGGTCAACAAGCGAAGCGAATCCAAACGGAGGGTCTTTTAAGGGCTCCCCCAAAATGGCTTCGGTTTCACAACAAAGGGGCACCAGCTCCAAAAAGACACCTAAAGGCTTCTTTGTCAAAGGCTCTCGAAACTGCTGCTTTTCTTCTTCTAGCAACCCGAAAGGAGACCCCCCCCCAAAAGCGAAATCTGCAATTCTCGACGGGGAGAAATGGGGAAGGGGGCTATCTATGAAACGCGAGGCATGGGCCACCCTACCTTTCCCGCACACGTTTAGGTGAAATGTGACATATCCCCTAGAAGTTTTGTAGAGCCCCAAAACTCTGGTCTTCCTTGTGGCTTCCCTTGAAAGCCCACAAAACAGGGGGCGCCCTCAAAAAAGACACCCAAATCAAGGTTCAGACAACTCTGCGAAATTCAAGGCCGGACGGACATGTCCCATTTGTTGGAGTTACAACATGTCAAAACCTCATAGGTCAATTAGGAGGGTCCATGTTCAGGGAACCCAGTGGTCGGGCGCAAAATTTCCCCCATGAGGTCAGGTTTGGGTGGCCCCAAGCCGGACATGCTCGTGCAGCAAGGCGAATCGTATCATTGGTGTGGTCTTGGCGAGCTCGCGATCTAATGTGCCGGCGACGCCCCCGGTTGTGGTGGGGTGGGGTGGGGTGGGGTGGGGTGGGGGGTGGGGTGGGGTGGGGGGGGGGGGGGGGGGGTGGGGTGGGGTGGTGGTGGGGGGTGGGGTGGGGTGGGGTGGGGTGGGGTGGGGTGGGGTGGGGTGGGGTGGGGTGGGGTGGGGTGGGGTGGGGTGGGGTGGGTGGGGTGGGGTGGGGTGGGGTGGGGTGGGGTGGGGTGGGTGGGCCGTGAAGCGGCCTGGCACGAAAGCGAGGCCGAACGATTTCAACGGTCGACGGATGAGCCTTCAACCGGGCCAGCTCCTCGCGGAGCGAGCGCGCGTCGGCCTGACGGGTGCAACGGGGGCAGGGAAACGAAAAGACGCCCGGTAGCGAGCCTGGTACCCCTGGGTCCACTGTTTCTCGGCGCGGATCTCCGTCTCCAGAACGGCCACCCGCGTCGCCTGACAAGGAAAAAAAAACCCAAAAAGGGGGGGAAAGAAGGGAGGGAGACGGGCCTTTGCGGCCAGCTCCCCCATCAGCGCCACCTGCAAAAACGGATTTGCGGGCCCCGCCCAACCCCGAAAAAAAGGGTCGCGCCTTCTCCGCCTCCAAGGTGGCGACCCGCGCTTCCGCGGTGGAAGCGCGGGCCTCCGCCGCGGCGAGCCGCTCATCCTGACGGGAAGAAAAAGGGCGACATCCGAACGGCGAAGAAACCGAACGCGCCTTGAGCGCGAGCTCAAGGCGCGTCTTGTCCTGCCAGGCGAGCGGAAAAAGAAAAAACGAGGAAAAAGACAGGCCTTGGACGCGTTGTGCTCCGCCTCTCGGCGGAGCTTCGAAGGAGGTGGCCTCCGCGAGCGACGCCAAAAAAAAAAACGAGAAGAGGCGATCGATCGAGCGCACCTGCGGCCCGGCTTCCACGCCACTGGCGGGCACGGAAAAAGAGGGGAGGGGGGGGAGAGGGGGGAAAGCGCCTCCCCGTGGCGCGCGGGCCAGCCACCGGACCAGCGAGCGTCCTGGCAGTCAAAACAAAAAAAAAGAACCCTGCGAAAGCAGGACGCGCCTGCCGGGATCCTCCACATCCATCCCACTCCTGACAGAGAAAAAAAAACGACGGGAAAAAAGGAAGAGGCTGTCCTGCGCCGCCGGCATCCAGCCTCCCCAGGGGGAGTGGGAGAGTGAGAGAGAGGAAGTGAGAGAGTGAGGAAGTGGGTGAGTGACGGAGTGAGAGAGTGAGAGAGTGGAAACGTAGAGAGTGAGAGAGTGGGAGAGTGAGAGAGTGGGAGAGTGAGAGAGTGGGAGACTGAGTCAGTGAGGGAGTGAGAGAGTGAGAGAGTGGGAGAATTAGAAGAGAGTGAGAGAGTGAGAGAGTGAGAGAGTGAGAGAGTGAGAGAGTGAGAGAGTGGGAGAGTGAGACAGTGAGGGAGTCAGTGAGAGAGGTGGGAGAGAGACAGTGAGGGAGTGATGAGAGAGTGGGAGAGTGAGACAGTGAGGGACTGAGAGAGTGAGAGAGTGGGAGAGTGAGACAGTCAGGGAGTGAGAGAGTGAGAGAGTGAGAGAGTGCCCGCCTCTCTATGCTTCTGCCCTCGCTTGGGGTCGTCCGCCGGTGCCTGTTGTTTTCCTGTGAGCCGAGGCCGAGCCGAGGCGGCTTTGGCTTTGGCGCCACTTTGGCTTTGGCGCCACTGGCACTGCCGCCCTTTCTTGGCGCGGAATACGAGGACAGTGCCATCGCCTGCGGCAGACTCGCACGGCACCTCCATTGATTTGCGGCATTTACACCGTGCCTTGGGTGTCTGACCCGGTCCCCTGTTCTTTGGCGCCGCTGCCACCATCACCTGCGCACAAAGGAGCACCCCCCTCATGAGGCTGCTGCCGACTCGCGCAGCACCTCCATTCATTCCTTGTGTGGCCGACCCCGTTTCCTTTGCTCCTGGTCCTATTTTTTCCGCGCGGGGTGGGGCGGGGTGGGGTGGGGTGGGGCGGGGTGGGGCGGGGAGGGGTGGGGTGGGGTGGGGTGGGGTGGGTGGGGGTGGTAGGGGTGGGGGGGGGGGGCAAAACGTGTGAAGTGCAACCTAACGGATCATTGGCTCGTGTGAAGTGTAACTCATGAATTATGCTGCATGCTCGGCATGAGCCATGGCCGCTAGGCAAGGCTGCTCAGGAGGCAACTCATTTGCTAGCGTCTCGAGCAGCTTGCCATACTGTCGAAGCTGCCTCGCCTGCTGTCGCAGCTGAGTTGTGGCGATAGCCTCCTGCTGACCACCTCCTCAAGCGCAGCCCGATATGAGGCACCGTGTCCAGCGTGTTTATGCGTGCCACATACCAGTATTGCAGGAATACAAAAGGCTGAGGGTGGAATAAAATCAGAAAGTTTTGGAGGAAGAAAGGAAAGGAAGGTAGGACAGAAGGAAGAATGGGTGCAAGGAAGGAAAGAAGCAGTGGGAACAGAGGAAGGGAGGACAGGGGGAAAGGGATGAAGAGCACGGAGGAAGAGAAACGGCAAGAGAAAGGAGGAGAGTAATACGGAAGCCAGCCAGGCACACAGGCGTCCCAAGACAGGAAGGTAAGGGGGGAAGAAGAGAGCAAGGCACGAAGGTTGGAAAGGGAGGAGGGGAGGAAGGGAGGAAGGGAAAAGAGGAAGGCCCCCATCGTTTGCCATGATTTTGCGCATGTCCGAAACATCCATGAAACGCCGAACGTGCCTGGAAGGCCTGCTTCTGCTTGTCGCCAAGTTGCAGCTAACACCTTTGTCGCGGTGGACTGTAGATTGCCCTGGCCAGCTGGGCGCAACACAAAACAGTGTATATAGACAAGAAGCTGACCTCGACTTTGACACGAGCCGCTGTGAAGCTGCCACGCGGGGTGATACTGCCAAAACATGCCTAGGCACACCCAGCGTCTGAGAGAGTGAAAGACACTAGAGTGATTCCATCAAGACGAGCCGCCATAGGCGCCAGCGGCTTTGTCGAAGTGCTCTCGAAAATGTGAGTGGCGTCCAAAGACTCCACGAGATCACTCCTGCACGCAAACAAGCAAGTGAGTGGGAGAGTGAGAGCGTGAGTGAGAGAGTGAGAGAGTGAGAGAGTCCGAGAGTGAGAGAGTGAGAGAGCGAGTGGGTGAGGAGTGAGAGAGTGAGAGAGCGAGGGAGGGAGGGAGGGAGGGAGGGAGGGAGGGAGTGAGTGAGTGAGTGAGTGAGTCTGAGTGAGTGAGTGAGTGACTGAGTGAGTGAGTGAGTGAGTCAGTGAGTGAGTGAGTGAGTGAGTGAGTGAGTGAGTGAGAGAGAGAGAGAGAGAGAGAGAGAGAGAGAGTGAGAGTGAGAGTGAGAGCGAGGAAGTGAGAGAGTGAGGAAGTGAGTGAGTGACGGAGTGAGAGAGTGAGAGAGTGGAAAAGTGGGAGA